TCTCTGAAAGTTTCCATGGAGTTTGTGACAACTTATTTTTTCATTGATCCTATCGTCTAATCTCACAGTTGAAACAAGCATCCTTAATAATCTGTGCACAGGAAGCTTACCGATGCTGTAGTAAAACAAAAGGTATAATAATTTATTATTAATAAAACCTTGTTGCAGCACTAAAGCAGAAAAATTAGATTTTGCATTAAATATGCAAAATATTTACATATGAATTGTTTTAGAGCCCTTTAATTGGCAGAATCTGATATTAATTTAGTTCTTACAAAAAATGGGTCCCAACATGGTTTGTGTGGCGTTGCCATAGTGTGACGTCATAGGCACAGATCCCCTGTCCTCTTGTTTGGAAATGGAAATATGGTCACCCTACATTAAACAAACTGTCCACCCGGGCTTTTGCACTGCACAGAGACGCTTCGCTGCCTACGACTGAACGTCAGTTGAGAGTCAGTCTCATGCAGACTGACCAATGAAGAGAGGGCCTCAAGTTAAGACCCTCTCCTCATTGGTCAGTCCACACGAGGTGGGTCAAAGGTTACTCTGGGCGGGTTACGTGTTGTCAGGCATTCAAGTATTGAGTATATTTACTGCATATTACAGTAAAATATTCTGTATGTGACCACATTATGGTGATCCTTGGGTCGTGATGATGGAGCCCTTGAATATTGTTGCCCAGGGTACAACAAAGTGTTAATCTGGCCCTGGTTCCGCCGTCACATTCCCGCAGAAACTGGTTGATCACACCGGGGCCAGACTACTAGCATGTGGTTTTACAACCACAATGTCCTCAGAAGCAAAAACGCTTTTAAAAGGGAGGGAGGAGTCCTAACTGTTGCTGCAGGCGTGTTGTGTGAGAGTGCAGTTATATACTGGTTAATATATTTTTGGGTTCAGTTGCTTTCATGTGGCCTAATGTGAGTCTATTTGGGATCATTGGAATGATCAGCAGCATTTCTTGATGTGACTTTATGGCAGTTGCCCTGGGCATCATCGCAAGGAGGATGGCATTCATTTACTTTTGTTTTATTTGGTATTTTTTCAGTCATTTTTGGAAATGGTGATCAATTTTGATTAATTCACAGCCTATGTTTAGTTACATTTAAAATAAATGTCAACAGATGAGATCAAACAAAACAGATGAGAATTGCCCTTAAGCTGTTTAACTTGGACCAAGCATTTTAGGTCACAGATAGATGTAGCTTAGGGTCTCTGTCTATACACCTTATAAGACAATTTAGGTGATGGCATGTTGTTTTTCTGCTATTGAACTGTTTTCTAATAATGTTGTGTTAAATAAAGTGAAGGAAGGAGAGAAATAACGTTTCCCTAGCAGTTTTTAAAAATTTCCCCATGTAATCCGATTAATCGATTAATCGTGTCGAGACCCCATCCGATTAATCGATTATCCAAATAATCGTTTGTTGCAGCCCTATAGGGTGATCATATTTCCATTTCCAAAAAAGAGGACAGGGGATCTGTGCCTATGACGTCACACTATGGCAACGCCACACAAACCATGTTGGGACCCATTTTTTGTAAGAACTAAATTAATATCAGATTCTGCCAATAAAAGGGCTCTAAAACAATTCATATGTAAATATTTTGCATATTTAATGCAAAATCTCATTTTTCTGCTTTAGTGCTGCAACAAGGTTTTATTAATAATAAATTATTATACCTTTTGTTTTACTACAGCATCGGTAAGCTTCCTGTGCACAGATTATTTAGGATGCTTGTTTCAGCTGTGAGATTAGACGATAGGATCAATGAAAAAATAAGTTGTCCCACACTCCATGGAAACTTTCAGAGAATCCACAAATAGTGGCTTTCAAACAGTTTTGTTACTTTTTGCAAGTTTAGAAAAGAAGCAGATGAGACAGCATGTCTGATAATTTAGTTTTTCATCTGATAATATTAGAACATGTCAGTAATGTCTGAGGGGCTTTTATAAACACTGTATAACTAACACTACTGGAGAGGGTATGAATTACACAGAGGCTTCTGGGGAGCCCAGTTATGGGGGGGGGGGGGGGGGGGCATTTTGCCTTGGCCCCCAAAATGTCTTGAAACGGCCCTGGGTGTGTGACTGAGTTTTGAAGGTGATCTGAATTGTATCAGATGTATAAATATGTTTTTTTACTGGTAAAAATGTGTAATGGAGATAAATCTACCTACATTTTACTTTTCAACACTTTGTTTTGTTTTCTTGTTTTTATTGAACTATTTTCCTGTCCTGTCTGTCTCTCATCTTCCTGCATCTCCTCTTAATTGTCCAGAAAAACTGCTGCCTGGATTCTTACCTTTTCACCTCATCAGTTACTTTTGAGCAGATCAAAGGATCTCCTGACCGCAAAGCGCAGAGCGCGTTTTCGATGCTGCGTGAGGTGACATCACCACAGCACAGGTGATGAGCTCCGCAGTAGCGCGCTTCAGGCACAAATAAGACAGAAAATAGAGAACATGTGCAGACATGAACGATCGTGTGCTAATTATAGTTTTTTGGTTGCGCCACTTTGAGAATGGACCGTGCGCTGGAAGCAGCTGCCTGGATCGCTGCGCAACAACGCACTGTGCCGCTCTCTGCTCAGAAGAGTCCAAAAATGATATAATATAGAAAACTTTTTTCCGGCTCCCCTGATGTGTAGGATATACAGCTCCCCCATAATTCGATCCCTGCTCCTGGATGAAAAGCCGGACATTTTCATCAATACAAGAACCCGCAGTCCGGACGCCCGGACAGAGAGTGAAAAGTGGACATGTCCAGGGAAAACGGAACGTACGGTCACCATAGTCCTCATAAAGCGGGAAATTATAGATACAGTATTTTTGCTCGTGCCCTGGGCCCTTTAGAGTTCGTGGGCCCTGGGCAATTGCCCAGTTAATCCGGCCTTGGGCGGAACCGGTTCGCAGCAGCGCAAGTCTGCCGGCTCTCCCTCACGCTGATCTGCCGGTACCGGCTCTCCCTCGCGCTGATCTGTGGCTCTCCCTCGCGCTGATCTGCGGCTCTCCCTCGCGCTGATCTGCCGGTACCGGCTCTCCCTCGCGCTGATCTGCCGGCTCTCCCTCGCGCTGATCTGACTTGTGCTGGTCTGGAAGAGTTGTGCGACACAACGAATCGATGACGCTATTCGTTGCCAACGCTTTTAGTAATCGATTTTCATTGAATTTATCGATTCGTTGTTGCAGCCCTAGTGTAAAAGTCGAGCTTTTCAGCTTTATTGGTTTACTTCTAAAAACCATTTTAACGGTTTAAAATTTAAATCTAATCTTTAAACACTGCTAAATTCTTTATTTCTAAAATTGAATGAATGTGACATTTATCAGCAAATACAAACTTTTGCAATAGTCATGTGCTGCCCCACTTTGGTTTGAGACAGCACTGCACCATTAGTGCAATGCATCTGTGTGGTTTTCACTGCTTGTTGGTTTTTCATGCCCTTTAAGCTGCTTTAACCACAGGAGAGGAAACTTAAGGAACAAAAACAGGTTTGTTGTTCACAACTTAATTCTGAATCTTTGAGTAACTGAGCTTCCCTTTCCTTTAGCCATTGCACATATTTACTGTTTATTAAAATTATGATCATGTTTCCTATTTGTGCACAAGCCCCTGTATCATTTTTATTAACACAATGTCAAAAATGTGAATTTAGAATAAATAAAACTAAGAATTAACACTTAAATTTATTATCTGTACAAAGTAATTGATTACTTTATTCACATAATCATTGTAGTTAAGAAAGATCTACATAAATTGGGTTATGGCATCAGAGAAGATATTTGTGGAAAAGCTCTCCTTGAAGCAGAAGTAAAATACAAAGACGACTCCTTGTTAAAACAGCACTCAGAAAAGGGTAATAAAAAAATCTGCAATGGCAGAAACTTGTTTTAGACATCTGCAACTAGGCTTTATTTTCCAAACCAAGTTTTTAAAGTATCATTTAATCCCAGCCAGGTAGTACATTTTTAGAAAGTTTATAATTTTGTTACTTCAAACCCACATTTTTCTTATTTTCTACTAAAAGCCTTACAGTAAAATCACGAGAGGTGTACAATGTTTCAGTTTAGAACTTCTACATGAATACAATGTTTCTAAAACAGAATAACTTTAGATAATAGCATTCATATAATATCAGTGTGCATGTGAATAAAAGGTTTAGACAGTAGTCACCATAACTGTAGCATCAATCATCAAAAGATTAAATCAGAATGCTCTTATTTTATTAATATCACCTTATATATACACCAATAACAAAATATGTAAAAACAATTTACAGTAAAGTTTATCTTAAAATGGAGTTAGCATATGCAATTACTTATCATTCTGTGTGTGTGTGCAAAATCTAAATCTAATCTATAAGAAAAGTCTCAACCTCTCCTGACTGACTCTAAATTAAACATCTTGATCTAATAGGAAACTAAATGTTGCAGTGTTAATGACAAATATAAAGAAACTGATGAGACTAACTTGTGACTTCTTTGGAAAATATGTAAGGGATCACCCCGTTTAAAGTTATTGTCACCATTACTTTCTGTTAATACACCTTCCACGTGAAGTAAAACAATTAAAATGTGTGATTTATTCATCTTGTCATTTCAAACACTCGAATTGGGTGCAAGTAGCTATCTTAGCAAGGCCAAACAAACGGAAAATCAATAGTTTCGGAAGGAAACGCTTCAGTAATAAGTTGCGCAGCTGTGGAGATTAGTCAAGCTTGTGGTATATATACTTGTTTCTTTTGGCGTCGGATTGATAAAAAAGATACCACAATAAAGTTTTTGTTAAACGAAGTTAAAAGTATCAATGTAACGATGCTACAGCTAGCTTAGCTTACGTTTGAGGCCCAAGCTAAGTGCTAGCAGCACTTGTTGCATGCTAGTAAAAAAGTTTTGGGCGTTGTTTAATCACATCGTATTATACTATAAAACAAAGTAAACAGTTTTTTGGTTGAGCTGACTCAAAAGGCGTTGTAAAGGAAACATAAAATACTTACATTTTGAAAAGATATTTTAATTTAGCGAAACCGCTGCTGTTGTTTTTGTTTGTAAAGTAGTCCGTAACAGCGAGTGCGGTCGTTAGTCGTGAAGCCTTCCGGGCTGTCGGGAATTGGAAAATCAAACATAAATGACGTCAGAGTCTTCTTGAAACAACTAAATCTGTTTCTGTCTTTTTATTCCTTAAACGTGATTAAATGTTACACCTATGATATGCGACCCAAACAATAAGTTTGTAAAACTGTTATATAAATAAGGAACTTCAAGTTTTTAATAACTTTTCATCAATGTTTTCCAATTTCATGAGCAAAATTCTTTAAAAATAAATTTAAAAATAGCATTTTTGAGCATTGAAGCTAATAAAAGCAAGAGTAATGTCCCAAATCTCTTTTTTTATATATCCACTTTTGGTTTGTGTGCTTAGTAAAAATGAGAAGAGAACACAGCCGTGAACTCGTGGTCAACGTGTGACATGAAAACAAAGGCTACTGTGTTAAATTACAGTGTTCATTTGGATACAACTCATCTTTTAATGTAGAATTCATTTTGATCTGTGCAACTATAGTTACATAAAAAAGGAAAATAAAAATAGATGTCCAGGTTCGCTGGCTGCTGAAGGGTCATGTGATGTACTGATTTAAGAGGGAGTAAAGGAATTTATCAGGCTGTTGGGTATCAGAGTATCCATGAATGTGCGGGTTGTTTTTGTGTGTACTGTGCTGTGAAAATGTTTTGTCAGATTCTTTCTGTTTATGCTTTTAATTACACTTAAATGTTAGTGATCAGCAAACTAATACCAACACAATACAAAGATGACCTGAGTAAATAAAAAATGCTGTTTTAAAATAACACATTAAAAAATTAAGGGATATGAACTAACCTAACTTAACCCTTCTCCTCTTGCTAAATCATGGATTAACTGTGACTAGCTTTTATTTGGAATGTTGAGTTACATTTGCCACACCCAGGTCTGATTACCACCATACATTTGGAAGCAAAGCTCTTCAGTAGAATATCTGAAAACACAAGGTATGTGGAAAGATCTGAAAAAGCAATACATGTTCTAAAGAATTCAAGAACAAAAGAACTCAAAACAACCTCTATATGACTCCAATACTCACTTTGACTCCATGTGTTGGATAAAAACAGTATTGGATGCATGGAAAATGATTTTGTCTGGGTACCATCTGGTGTTTTTTAATTCAAACGAAGGTTCATTCCTTGTTCATATTTTGTTATTTTTCTGTGGCTCCGGCAGGGAAGTTCGACCTTGTATGTCTGCAGTTCTGTTATCACAAAAAGCTCCCTAGTGAAGTCCAGACGGAGCGTTTCTCTGTTATACCAAGAACCTGGGAAAGTTTGCTTTCTGTGAAGGAGGGGGTGTGTGTTTTCCTTTAATGTGTGTGCTATGTTACTTTTGAATAAAACCTTTTTGCGAGCTTCTGCTCGTCGAGAGACCGAACAGACATCCCATTGGTGTGTATCTCCTTTCTCTCCGAGTTTGCAGTCTGGTTGTTGATTATTGGTGATTGATCATATTGGTAAATGGTAATCTAATATCCCTAACCCCCTTGTGTGTGTTGGACTTTCTTTGAGGTACGCCTGGACTGATTAAATGTAAATACCCAACACCATGATTCAACAATAAAACATGGACAAGGGGACAAACTCACCTCCACAATAGCATTCAGTGGTCAAAACCCTTAGCCTGGCAAGCAATCCCATAAATAAAATAAAATAAAATTAAATCTTTTGCTACTGCTATGGTTTGTCTAGATTTCAGCGCTACAAAACCCTTGCTCACCATTAACAAAGACATGCATTTCTTGGTTCTTTTCAAACACAGAAAAGAACCAAGAAATGCAAGTTGAAAAGATACACAGAGTGAACGTACAAAAGATGGTTAAATCAAAGACACGTTTAACGTTCGGAATCCCCCAAATCTTTGCAAAAATATTCTTTAGACTGAAGAAACAAATGTGTAACTGTAAAAAGCATGTGTGGCTTGTTACATCTGGAATAAAATTAACACTGTTTCAGATTTTAAAAAATGACCACAGTCAAACATGGTAGCTGTAGTGTGAAGGGCTGGGGTTGCTTTTTTTCTTCAAGACCTGGCCTTGCTTTAATCGATCAAAAACTGAACTCTCTCTAGCAGAAAATCCTAAAAGAGACTGTCCAATGATCAGTCAATCACTTTAAAGCTGAGGTACATAGTTTAGAATTAAAATGTAACTTAAAAATGCTTAAATTTGACTTTCTGACCCTGTTTAGTTATATAAAGTAGGCAATCTTTCATAATTTATATTTTCCCTACGTCCCTCCTCTGGCCTCTACAGCAAACCAAATCATTTATGCAAGCCTAGAGCATTGACTAATAGAGTGGCGTATCCGTGAGAGTTCGCTGTCAGTAAATGAGAAAACACCCCAGTTCCCAGCATGCACTACGGGGTGTAACGTGATGCAATGACTGTTTTTCCCTCCTCTGCACAAGACTAGTCTGCATGAGATATGGTCTCAAGGTCTCATGCATTCCTTCTAACCTGCTTATTTTCAGCTCAACAGAAGAATGAAAAATGAACTGTTTTCTTTGATACAGATTGCCTCAGTCAGCTCAGAAAACCAACTTAGTTTGAATGCTAACTCAACCTGCATTGAATTCACTTGTCTGTCTATAAACACAAGCTAACTGTGGAGGAGGATTTATCTTTTGTGTTAAAGCTAAGTGATTGATGGTCAACCTTATGCTATATAGGACTATTGTTTTAGCCTGTCATAGCCACAGGCATACGTGGACACGCTGTGGACTGGCGCTGTCTATTGTAGCTGCCGTAGAGGTTGCCATATTGGATGGGTCTCCATTTGCCCCCAGTGCATTTATTTATTCTGAGGAAAGTGTTTACCCAACTGAAAAACACATTTTATTAAGCATTTTCACAAATTCAGACATATGGTATGGCATGATAATAAAAATATTTAATAAAATAAATAAAAACAATTAAAAATGAAAAAAATCCAACAAGTAGGCTAGAAAAGCTAATAGTAATTCCATGTGATCTGTTTTCAATAGTACACCGGTTGCTGCAACTTTAGGCTGCACAAAAAACAAGCAAATTTGTTCACTCTGCCATGACTCCAGCTGGGTTTGGAGAGTGAGGAACCCATCCAATATGGTGGTGATGCTCTACGGTCTCCAGTGCTCAATGGGACATATTCATGGCTATAGTTGTAGCTTTAGCACTGATTGCCAGTGCAGAATTCCTGCTGGTTTTAGATGTTTCTCTGCTTGAACGCTGCCCATTTGATTGAAATTAGTTTTGAGAAGCTCTTGCAGAACCTGGTGAAGGCTGAGGAGATAATTCAGCACTTAGAATCAGCTGGCTGAGCAGGACCATATTAAAACATTACTTGTCCCATTAGTGCTAGGCTATTTGGGAGGGCTTTCAGTTTCTTCATGAAGGAGAGGGAGAGCAGGGACGGGAGCCTTTGCTGTTCAAATGACAAAATATTCTCCTCTCCTTTATGATGTTATGCTAGCCCCTCTGGTTGGTTTGACTATTTTGTATTTACTGAGGTTATCTTTGAAATGTGTTTGTTGTTTCTTGGACCAATACGTGAGCTGCATTAAAGTAACCAATAACAACAAATACAAGTAGAAGTGACAAAGGTATTGGTCCCATGCAGTGCATTTATCCATCAAAACACTACAAAAAAGACAAGTCTAACAAAAAAAAAGCGTTAATCTTTACTGAAGTATTTATATAGTACCTAACAATATCTGTGATTGGTTAGAGTACATTTACATAAATTTAAAAATGTAATCTAATCTGTATTTTTATATATTGAAAACAAACTTTGAAACTAATCAAAGCATTTAAAAACAGGTTAGCAAAATGTTCTCAATCTGCTTTCTTAGACACAAAAGGAAACATCCGTGGTTTTGCTTAATTTACTGTAATATAAAAGAATAATAAATGACAACAAAATAAATCGTTTTTATCATCCTTATTCATATCAGTTTAGAAATTTCCAATTTTTTTAATGTAATAAGGCTTTGTTTGCACATTTATTTTTTTATTTCTCTCTGAAGAAACTCAGCATCTTTTACTCATGGTCACATTCCAGATCCTTCGTCCGACATAGTTTCCTTTGCAGGATTCTCAGGTTTCTGCCAAAAGACAAAATGTTTTAGTTGTGTCTTTTAGCAGAATGTGAACGTTTTTAATCTAAAGTCAGACTTCAGTATCCGATCAACGTTGCTTACAGAGTTAATTTCTTTCTTGCCAACATTGTACAGCAAGCTGGAACTCTCCTCCTGTAAAAGATAACATTATGGTTTATTTGTGGCTTCTGATCAGAATAGCAAAATCTTTACAATGCGTTCATGAAATCTGGCGTTTTGCACAATAGCACGTTGCATTCTACAGCTAACCACACACGTACAGTAAGTGCACCTATCAAAAACACTGTAACGCATTCAGCCTTCCTGCTGGCTTTCATATGGTACATCTGATATGTGCAGCAGGTGCACTAAGTAACAAAGTAACGTTAATGACTTTGCGAGTCTGGTATGTAGGAGCACAGTAAACGTCTCACTGCCATGCTTGACTAAGTTACACCTTATTCCATTAAACAGAGCAGCTCTTAAGTCCCTCTTCTGGATGTGGCCTTTGTTCCTGATGTTTAGTTTTCACGTGGATAGAGTCTCAGTGCAGAAACCCACCCACCCAGGCAGGAACGTGGCCCACTTTTTCTTCTGAGACCCTCCTGTTGACACATAGCTACTGACATTTACACCTGCAGAGGAATTCAGCATTTTAGTACGAAAATGTGCTAGAGCATCTGTCCGTGGGACCAGAAAAGCTTGTTTTCTTAGTGGTGAATTAAGAAGTATTAATGAAGAATAATAAAATTGAATATATTTATGAGTCATGCATTTAATTTTGGAAAGAAATACTTATTTTTTTACATAATGATTATATAACACATTTATAACATTATTACTGTTTTATTGCAAATTAAATATTGATTATCTTATTATAACTTTAATTGTTTTCTAAACATATTATGTCAAATTTTATAATAGATAAAATGTATAAATACAGGTGCGTTTATAGAAAAGTAAAGAGGTTTTAAAGGTTCAAGATACATGTGTCTACTCACATATCCTAGATTCACGTCTGTCTGCTCTTCAGCCTCGCCAACCTCTGTGCTGCACCCTCCTGGAAAACACTCCAATCCACGCTTTTCTCTTATTTTCTGCAGGAAGTTATATGCTGTTGTCTTTTCCAGCAGTGCTACCAGAAAAATAAGTGACACAAATGCATTAATGCAACTCATAACATTACTGACTCATTGCAGTTCCTCTTGAAATGTTCATTTGGAGTCACAAGAACATTTTACCTCCTTCACAGATGTCTGCAATCAGAATTATCATGATCAGCAGCCTTACAGCCATGTTGTCTTGCAGATTCTTCACACACACTCCAATGTTGTGCCCACCTTTGAGCTGCAAGTGCTTTTTGTTTCCAATCTCCACGCCCACATGTCCACCCACTCACCGGGAAAGACAGGTATCAGGTGTTAGTGTAAGTGCACTACAAAGTAAAACATATGTATATTTTTTTACCTTTTTAGGATTTAAATTTTTTGAAAACGGTTTTATTGCACTCTGACTCTCTGAGTCACCTGTTGTGTCAGGATAAAAGAGAAAACCTGGGTAAAGAGTTGCAGAAAACATATCACTCTACGATTAAATTGTAGAGTGATATTTAATGTGTTCGTCTTAAATTCAACTAATAAAACATATCAAGTTATTATCTAATGGGCAATGAGAGTAAAAGAATAAAAGAAAAAAAATACATGTTTTTCTTTGAAACCCTTTTTTTCCCCCCCATACATCTTTTATCTACGGTTAAGTGCTCCAGTCCAGTAGGTCGCGCCAATGACAGCACGCTGTGTATGTAATTGGCCTGATTTTCAACAGTAGGGGGCGCTGCATTACTCCACCTTTCCGGAAGTGCTAACAAAAGTCATCATTTTGAGCAATCTGAATTTCCTTTAACTGTAGTCTTAGTATTCTGCTTTAGCTGGAGTTGAAAACCCAACATATTTATTTATTCTGAGGCATGGGCTCGTCATTAAGACTACAGTGCGTGTAGAAAAATGCAACAGTTGTGAAGAAACAACGAAGGTAATGTCATTGTTCAATAAAGGTTAATTTAAAAAAATGGATAGCGGGTAGCCACGTACGCTAACTAGCGTTAGCTTTGTAATTACTTTGCTCACATGACTGCAGCTGCACCACTTGTTTAAATTATATCCAGCTTTTGCATTAAATAGTAATATGATGGTAGTACACTGCCGTGTTTAAAGGGATTTATCGTTGCCTTGTCCCCTTTGGCCAACTGCTAGCTTAGCATTAGCAGTGGGCTGTTGGGGAAAGTAGATGTATATCAAACGAGTCGCAGTCTAGTTGCTGGGTTCCTGGTCCATATAATTGATTTACATTAAATACAACCTTTTAACTTTTAAGCGCTATTTAATTCTTTATCTCCATAAACGTGTTACATTTAAATACTGAAATCACTCACGACTAAATAACCAGGTTGTAGGTGAACACGAGGACTGAATGTTAACAGATTATTGGGTTTACTTTTTAATTTCAGATTTTGTTTCCCATTTAACAATGAACTCCCTAACGGCCCACTCAACGGCTTCAAGCTCCTCATGCAGAACGCTGCCAGGAGAGGGAAATCAGGTATAAATCATGATAATATGTCTTATAATACCGGGTTTACAGCTAAAGAGTTATACTGTTATCCATTCAGGTACAACCAAAAGCCCCTCTGCTGCAGATTCTACGTGTAGCTGGAGCACAGGAGGATGTCTTCACACTTAAAGAGGTGAGCCATCTGATAAAAGCAGGTTTTTTTTAAACTGTATCTTGTACCACAATGAGATGAGAACAGTTTTTGAAATAAAGGCTTTGAACACCAGTGAGAAATCATGGCATAACATTTTCTTTAAATTTATGCAACATTTTGCCATAATTTTGGGGAGTTTTCAATTTACAGTTAATTTATCTGTAAATCGGCATCGGTGTAACGTGTTTGAAAGTCTTGTAAATTCAAATTGAAGGTGTGGTTGACTGATAAACCATTTTAAAGTCTTTTTTCTGATTATAATCAGTCACTCTTAGTTTTTCATGCAGGCTGAACATGAAAATTGTCTCCTACACCTATTTCCTGCATTAGCTTCTGATAGAAAATAGACTGTAAAATGCTAGAATTTGAAAATCCTCACAGATCTACATCACAATGTGCATTAGTATTCATGGAGTCACTGATCTTGACTCACAATGGGGAAGGCTGTGTTGTTTAACATCCAGGAATCAGCATCACACCTCACAGCTAGTTTAAACTAACTGTTAGCATTAGCAAATTCACTTAACAGCAGAAGTCACCCAGGCTTGTGTTATTTGTGGAGATAAAGCAAACATGTTGCAAGTCAGTGGTAGAGTTGTGTTGCTGCTACTCAATCCGGGGTAAGATGTCCAAATATCAGGAAATAAGACTCTAAATTCTTGGGCTTTTTTTCTGCTTGCAAGGCATCGTTTCCTTTCTTGAGACCACTACAAATTTATTGATTAAACAAGTAATCCACACCTTTAAGTGTTCAAATTTCACTTTGATGAAAAGGTAAGAACCTCATATGCGGGTCTGTAGGTGCCAACAATGTCTTTGCTTCAGTGCTGAGCCAAACCACACATCACTCCATTGTGAGTGGACTACAGTGGAACATGAGTCTTATTCCTTCACGTGTGCAGGTGATGCACTACCTGGGCCAGTACATCATGGGGAAGCAACTGTATGACAAACAGAGGCAGCACATCGTCCACTGCCAAGATGATCCTTTGGGAGAACTGCTAGAAGTCGAGAGCTTTTCTGTCAAAAATCCAAGGTATTCACCTCCACTAGAAGCAGCCCTGCCCACTTATGCTGTTCTATGTATGAATTTGTTCATTTTAGATAAAGAAATTAACTAAACTACCTTTATATTGCAGCCCAGTGTATGAAATGCTCAAGAAGTACTTAGTTGTGCTTGGTAGTGCTGGTAAGTGAGTCTTTCATTTAGTCGTTTTGTATTTGTCAACATTTTTAAGTAATGATTTGTTTAACGGGCAAAAAAAAAAACTTAGGACATACACAGCATTTAGATTTGTCCACTGTTTCATTTACATCTATCAATTAAACTTAAGGTAAGCTAAAACTTTATGAGCACATTTCAAGACAAAAGCCACCGAGTGCTGTACGTTGGAAACTTTCAGTTAAAATAACTTATTGATGAAAGTCAAATGCAGACATGAAAAGTGGAGATTTTTCTAAACTCGGTTTGTAAATTTCAAATCAAAGATAACATCCTACACATTTTGTTAGCTCCTGGTAATTCTCACACACATGGGGATGCAGAGATTCTTCATAGATTCAAAGAAGAACATTACCCAGCGTGTTCTTCAGATCCTTTGAGGAGTCGCTGCTCTTCTGAAGGCCTTAGTGAGACAGTCTAAACCACTTTAATTAAAAGGCGGGGGGGTTGTTTTTGTCTGTTACTGTGTCTCATATGAAATGCAGACGCTGCGGAGAATCTTTCTGTGCGCCGTGAATGTGTAGAGGGAGGAGTGGAGGATCGTGGTCAGGTAAAGCCGAAGCATGGTGCTCAGAAGAAACAGGGTCCCTCAGCCTCACTGACCTCACTGCCCACACCGCTCACGGACAAAACCTGATGAGTTGCAGGCTAACGGCACAGCTGCTCAAATCAAAATGCATAGAAGTGGCATGGCTTGACCACCGGTCGGCTACGTGTTAATCTAAAGTTACAGCAGCTTTTTTCTGCTTGTGTGGGCCGAGGCGAGTGTGGTGAGGGCTGCTGTCTTCGTTGATGTGCATCTGTACAGAGTGGCACCGTCTCTGTACGACCCCATCCTTGGTTTGGTCTGGTGGTTGTTACAGCACTCCTTTGTGCCCCACCAGTTCCACCCAGTGGATGGGGGGGCAGAGTCACTGTCTCTGTCTGTCAGAGTTCTCTTCTCTGCTACAAATTGGAGGATCTCAGCTCTTGATGAGTAAAGGCCCAACAGTCCTAGACCTCTTCCCCCCCTACTGTCATTCTTGTTTTCTCTCTGCTTTTTGTTTTCTATGACCAAACTGATTATCTGTCACCGAGTTAACCGATTTCATCTCTTATTATACATAAAAAGCATTTAAAAAATAATCTTTTTTAATATTTTTAACTAAATTATTTTGTCTGGTTTTTTTTTGCTAATATAAATCTTCAGAAATAGATTTCTTTGCAATAAATTCTAATTATTACACTACAAAAGGAAAGAGCTGCAGTTTCCCCATATGTTTTATTTTTTTTATATTTTTCCAACTTATTGATTATTTCATTGATTAAATTACTATTCCCACCCCACCCACTTCCATTCCTCTTGGGTCTGTACTTGTACCTCCACTCTGTGTGTCCTGTACCACCTCTCTAGGGGCCAGCTTGTAACGGAGCTGTGAGTCCTCCAAGTGTCCAGTCATGGCTCTGTGGTCTCATTTGCTTCTTTCCCCCCACATCTCTCTGTAGGTTTGTGGAGGCGTGGTCAAAGCAGGAGCGGCTGCTGGCGGTGAGCGGCCTCCTCTGCAGACCCCCTCCCAGAGACGACCCCGAGATCCAGATGATGGTAACTAAGCAGTCTGCAGCAAACCTGATGCAACTAAAGCAAAACGCGCTGCAAAAGACGGACTTTAACTGTTGTTATCCTGTTTAGAGTCCGTGGAAGGCCTGCCACGCTCAGCCTGTAAACGGCCCAAACTTGATGTTTCCCTTGACGAGTGGGACCTCTCGGGTCTGCCCTGGTGGTTTCTGGGTAATCTTCGGAACAACTACAGCCGTAGAAGCAATGGTTCTACTGACATTCACACAAACCAAGTAAGAAACTTTGTATGTTGCTAGAAAATTCCCTGAAAACCTAAAAATATTCAAAATAAATCAGTTTGATCAGCTACATATAAAAGTGGTGTTACGTGTTTTTCAGTCTTTATTATTAGAGGTTGTGTCTGGCTGATGACTCGGTGGTAATCTGACTGATGAGTCAGCTGTCTGTATCACAGGAGGAGGACACAGCTGTGGTGTCCGACACCACAGAAGACCTCTGGTTCCTGACCGAGGGTGAGAGTGAACAGGTGAGCGTGGAAATGAAAGAAGCCGTGCTGGAGGAAGGAAGTGTTGGGGAAGAAGGCTCTCTCGATGATGATTACGGAGGAGGAAAAGAGGAGAAGGCAGATCGAGAGGTAGGGCTTTTTCACCTGGCTTCATTTCCAGATCTCCTACATAAAAACATAAATGTGCTCGTTCAGATGCAGGAGGAGCCTGAGGAAGACTCCCAGTGTCTGAGTGATGACACGGACATAGAGGTCTCCACTCAGGTCAGGATATTTTTAAACCTCGTCCTTTTTGATTTAAGCTTCAGACTTAAATTTGTGTCTGCTGTGTTCTGCAGGACGCATGGCAGTGCACAGAGTGTAGAAAGTATAACGTCCCCATCCAGAGGTACTGTGTTCGCTGCTGGGCGCTACGGAAGAACTGGTACAAAGATGTCCCCCGCCTCGCACACTCCCTGTCTGTTCCTGACATCCCAGCATGCAGCTCTCTCTCTACCCACGATGAAGACGACGACAGTGACGCAGGCATCGACGTCCCCGACTGCAGCAGGACAATGTCTGATCCGGTCATCCTGCCCCCCTCCCATTCCACAGCTGAGTCACCTGTGACCACCATGGATATGGGGAAAGGCAAGGGGCCGCGGTCGTCTGGTTTCCACAAATATGACCAGCTTTCAGAAGGGGAGAGGCAGGAGAGCTCAGGCATGGAGGTGCAAGACGAGCGAAAGGAGGAATTACTGGAACCGTGCAAGCTGTGTCGAGTTCGAACGCGTAATGGAACTATAATACACGGACGCACGGCTCACCTGCTCACATGCTTCCCGTGTGCGAGGAGGCTGCATAAGTTCCAGGCTCCGTGTCCGGGATGTGGGCAGATTATTCAGAAAGTTATTAAGACGTTTGTTCTTTAGAACGCACGCGGAGCTGTCGGGTTTGGACACCTTAACAGAAACACAAGTGAAACAAAGGAAGAGATAAAACAAACATATTTATGGATGACTGAACCTAAACCTGCACCTTACTGAACATCTACAGAAGTAAACACGTTATAGCGCTTGGTGAAGCTTGCTTTTGATCCATGGTTTTCTATTACATCACATTGCCTATGAAAGGGTCTGATGAGACTTTGGACTAGTTTGTTTTTCTAAACATTTTTCCTCCACGTGATAAAGAAGGGACAAGGCAGAAGTATTTGTTTATAAATGTTCACAAGAAGTGATCAGCTGGTGTGAGCTTTTATTTAGAGTCATGAAGGCTTTCAGTGGTTTTTCACGTTTGGTTCCTTTGGCTGGTTGTTTCCAGGGTTTGTTCACTTTGCGTGTTAAAATCTTGGAGTTGCATCGTTTATAATAAAAATCTATTTCCTCTAAACTGTTTTCTTCCTCCACAGACGAGCCGTAGTCCTTATTTACAAACCGCTGGGTCACTGCGGGCAGGTATGTAGTATGAAAAGCTTTCTTTGGTTTTGTTGGAAATTCTTTCAATCTCCAAGTGTCACGATTCAGAACGAGCTTTTGTTTTCCGCTGCTGCAGGTTTCTAAAACCATTTCAAAGTATCTTTTAAATGTTTCTTTTCAGCTGAAGAAAAAGTGTTTTCAACGAACAATCTAGCAGCTGAAGTAGTCGTGTCTTCTGATTGCTAACCTCATGACCCAGATCTGTTCTGATTGTTTTCAGTTAAAACATCTAAATATATATTTTACACTTAAGTTAAAAATAACAATTTGTATTTAATTTATTTATGCTGCAGCTTCTAAGTAAGCCTCCTGATTGGCTGCACTTGTAATCTAGTCCTCGTGTGTGATTTACTTACCGATGTGGAGGGAAGTGTTAGGAGATAGATTTGAAGCGTTCCGCTGTGACACCTCTGAAAGGATTTCTGTAAATACAAGATTTTATTTTAATGGTTATAATTAGGGTAAAAATTGTATTGCTGGATCTCATTAATGCTTTTTGCCTGATATGTAAAACCTTTATCTTCTATTTATATATTTCTTGAAAGATTGTCTAACCTTGGCAGCAGATATGCAACACTTCGGTAACCGAATGCTGTTTTCTGTTTAACGTGTGCTTTATTCTTTTGCCAGCAGGTGGAGAAATTTCAGCCATATTAGTCTGCTAAAACTCTAATAGCATGCCTGTTTTTACGACTAGAACCAGCACAGAGCTGCATCAAAAGGTTCTACTAGATCCAGACCTGCAGCTTTTACAGATTCAGATGTAAAACTAAAGATTTTTGTGCAGGCTTGGTACTTTTTTGGGTTTGTTACAGTTGAAATGTTTTGTTGAACAATAAAAGGTTGAAAGTAAAGCTTTTTGTTGGCTCGTGTGTTTGTCGGCTGAAGAGAATAAGTCACCTTACGACAGGCCAGCTGTCGAACGTCTTCTCCATGACTGAGCTCCAGCACCTGCATCTCTTCTCTGCTTACTCATTGTTTCTCTGCTGCTCGCTTGACTTCAACTTATTTTAGTCCTGTTCTTGAGAAGTAGGGCAGACGTGTCGTCCTCTGCTGTGCTGGAAGCTAAAATCTGCTGCTACCTAAGCCCACCGTGTTATTTAGGTGCTGGTTACTCAGAGTATATTCCATCTGTGGAAAGTCCCTCGTTAGGATGTCCTCTAAATGAGATCTGGATACAAAATAAACCCCGCATCAAGATCACAGCAGCTCGTTTTTTAAAGTAATTTCTAAAATAAAACTCCAGGTGTAAATAAAATTCTTAGTTGATTATATTTTTGTAGAACATAATCAAAGCAAAGTGTGGAGGTCATTCATCTCTGATGCTGGTAAAGCTTAAAATGAAACGGCAAAGTTTATTTTTGGGGGATTCTTGGGTTGTATAAATAATGTAGTGGTGTCAGTAAATGGTGATTTCCAGTTTTTATTTACATTTTTAACATTTAATTATGAGAGAAGTGAAGGACAAAGGCCCAGTGAATATAGTTGGCATAAAGTTGCAGTGGTTAAAGACAAATTAAAATGTTACACACGCAAGCACAATTACATGATTGGAAATAGTTGACCTTTGAACCCAACACTGAAAAACAACTTTTTAATTAATCACAGGAGATTTAAAAATGTTTTATATATCTGTGAAAATAAATATCCTTTAATTCTATACTGGTTTATGTTTCCCAAACCCAGTAAATGTGTTCCTGCTGGGGGAATGTCTCCATCTGGTTGGTGGGTAAATCTAAATCACAACTAGCATACAAATAGGGATGAAAAATATTATTAGGCAGCACCTACCACTTTCTCAACACTTTTAGTTTTTTATGACTACAGTTAAAGCTGAATTTGCTTCTGTCCTGCTGAACAAACCAGCATAGACCAGCATATGTTGTATTTTGGTGCAGGTTTAGCTGGTGGACCAGTTTACAATGCTGGTCTATCATAGCATTCTGGACCAGCATCCAAAACACAACATATGCTGGATTTTTCTGCTGGGGGGCGGCTCGTTTTGAAGGTAATTTCTGTAGAGCTTCCCAAGACCTGGTCCCAACTCTTCGTCGTTGGGAACCAAGAAATTAAACCACTCAAAGAACTCTTAAAAACGGGTTCAGTGAAAAGATCTGATGGTAGGAAGCTGGGTTGCCTGAGTCTTATTGACTCATGCTGACCCCAACCCTTCATCTCACTCTCGCATCAGTACCATCACACTGCTCCATTTGGCGTGTCACAACACCCCTGGAGGCATGGCATCCAGAGCTTGGCGGCTCCAGAATGGCACTGCACAGGGAGTGGTGAAGGCTCTGCATGTTTCCATGGCTACAGCCTTTCCATCTCAACATCCTAGAATAACTCTGCACATCTGCCATTTTTCCTCTCTTGACCCACTGTGTGGTGCATGGTATTTCTTAAGAGTGGAACCATTTTTTTTATTTGTCTTCTTCCTTTCTCTGACTCTTGAGTAAGGTCACGTGACCTCAGCCTGTTAAAATGTGTTTATCTTCTTCCGTTTGTGTGTCAGGATATGCGTAACTGCATCTGCCTTTCTTTCCTCACCTTCATGCAGACACACGTACGCACTTCCTCCTTTGTTTTCCTCCAACTATTTGGTCGCTGCAGAAACCAGGCTGCTAAATTTGTCCATCGTTGACTTGAGAGAAGGTCACCGAAGCCAAAACAAAACAAAACAAAAAAACCAAAAACTAAGAAGAAGAGAAGGAGCAATAGGATTGTGTCAGATCAGAGCGAAATACAGAAACACAACATCACCTCGGTGGAAGTATACAACTTACTTTCTGTGAAGCTATGCTGAACTGTTTAGATGCCAGAAGGCATGTTTTTATAATAAATGAAGTAAAACACTGAGTTTCATTGATCTTCCGTGTTTCATCCAGCTTGTGGTGTTATAGAAATAAACGGTATGCCGTGTAAACTATCTGGAGTAAAGTTATTTACAGTGAATACTTTATGCTGTGAAGTATGTGAGTGGGAAGTGGGTTATGTACATAGGCATGTGTGTGTGTTTGTGTGTGCTGGAGCCTCGCGTCGGGTGGGATGCCAGCAGAGGGAAGGGCAGCGGATGGCTCAGGGGGCTCAGTCCATTCCTCTGATTTAACATGACACCACTTGCACTAAGACGGCGACAGCTGCATGTGCACATGCCAGCCATTCTGTTTGTTGTAGGGGATTACTCGGCGATAAAAGCCCCAGTGAGCAGCAGCGTGGCTGGGCAGCAGAACTACTGTTCCCCCTCCCTCCTCCCCTGACTTTAGAAAGCTTTCTCCAGGCCTCCAGAGTCCAGTAAAAACACAGGTGGGGCACATCATTCTGAATGGCAATGAATGGGAGTATTCTCCTGGTGATTAGCCTGGCAGTAGTGTCATATCGCCTTTAGACATCAGTCAGACGGTTGAGCACTGCAGCTTATGTAAGCTTCGTTACTCAACAGAAACACTGGAGGAAACGGGGTGCATTCACCACACGTGACTCCTTCATTCAGTTTCCCTTCAGCATTTTCCCCTGATTCCTCCACATTGTGTTTGATTATAAAACTCGCCTGAATCAAGAGTAGGTCTGAACTACGTCGGTCAGTGATGGATGTGTGGTTATCAAGGCGACAGGAGGGATTCAGTACCTGAGAGGACAGACCCAAGCATCTGTCACTGTCACTATGGTGACCATGGCTCTTAACTGCTGCATAACAACTCAGGTGTAGATAAACTCAACTCAGAAACAGTACTTGAAATGTTGCACGACATTTTCTTCCTCTATTTTACCTAAAAGGTCAGTTTCTTCCCAGTGGCGCTCCCAAGGGGTGGCCAGGGGTGGCCCAGAAAATTATTAATGTTCACTCGAACCATAAATTCATCTTATTTATTAAAAAGTCATATAAGTTTCTGCTGCTCCTCCATTAAAAAAGTTATATGATGTCCGTATTTTTGTGAAGACAGAAACAGGTTAATCAAACAAAAAAGAAAATTTTAAAATAAATTTTGAAATAACATTACAAATAACTGAAATGTTTTTTTCTAAAATGTTTGTGTTTCTCAAAATACTTAGTGTTTTGGATACATACTGTTTTTAATAAAAAACAATAAAGGACCAATGCAATGCATCGCCACAGGCTAAACTCTCCCAGAGTTTCCACAAGGAAATTTGGTGTGCAACCACAACATTTTCTTTGCCTGCATCTGGCCACCCTTATCAAAATTTCTGGGGGCGATGACAAATGGCAAAGAATGTGAACAACGTGTACAGGGGCGGCGTTAGGCCCGGCTACTTGGGCTGAAGCCCCGGATGTTTCATGAAAAGCCCCGGATCTAAATCGCGGAAGTAACATGCAGTACCAAAGTCCAACAGAGAGGTAGCAGCTGGCAGTAGTTTGTATACAGCCTGCCTGAGCCTCCACCACTGAAGAAGAAGCCCTTCAGCAGCCGGTTTCTTCTACACTCTGTCTGAAACGCATGAGTGAAGATGGACATAAGGACGTTTTTTAGACCAAAAGTACCGCGACAGAACCCCAGCTTTGATGAGACTGGTGTTGACTCAGGTTTGTGAGTCTTATTTGAAAATATTTGTTGTGCTGCTGGTTTGCCTAAAGTTAGCTTATCAGGTAAAGTTGTTGGAGAAAGAAAGGGAATATTTACTATCTTCTCACACTAAACACTAACAGGAACAATACTCTGCCTTGAATATGCTTAATATGTAGCTTTAGATTAAAAATTATGTGGTACAAGACAAATATATATGATGTTGACTAGTGCGTGCCACGTGTGTGTGTGGGCGTGTGTGTGCGCGGGCGTGTGTGTGTGTGTTAAGCCCCGGATCTTCTTCAGTCCTAAATCCTCCCCTGAACGTGTATACAGATGTGATGGTGACGAGTACATTTTACTGTAACTCGCCTGAGTTGTAGTCATTTTTGTTTGCTATTGTCACCAAGATATAGGAAGCCATCTTGAATCAGTTTGGCTCCAAATGTCAGTCAGGTGTAGGATTCGAGGACTTCCCGAAGAGGTTCTTCACTCTAGAGGCTGGCTGCTGTAAACGTTTTCAAGTCCCAGTCATTTCATGTAAACGAATGGGATTTTTTTCTGACCTGATAAATGGTAAATGACCTGTATTTATATAGCGTCTTCTTAGGATTCTACTATCCCCCAAGGCGCTTCACAACAGAATGAGTCATTCACCCATTCACACACACATTCACACACTGGTGGGGATGAGCTATGATGTAGCCACAGCTGCCCTGGGACGCACTGACAGAGACAAGGCTGCCGTGCACTGGCGCCACCGGTCCCTCCAACTACCACCAGCAGGCAAGGTGGGTTAAGTGTCTTGCCCAGTGACACGACAGCAGAATTCTCTTGGTGGGATCGAACCTGCAACCTTCCGATTACTGGACAACTCGCTCTACCTAAAACAAAAAGGAAGAAAAAGACACTTCAAATAATCTCTTCAACATTTTGTTGTCTGATGTTCAAACATTAGGTGCAGCTGGGTTCTTCAGCCCATTGGCTCTTGTATAGATTTTGATTCCAAATCCACAGCATGGAAATATTTGTTAATGTTTAACTTAAACAACGGAAGTAGGTTTAGATGTGTCATCTAGTTCATATTTAAGGGCAAAAACATTATCACCCTCTATTTGCTTTGTGAAAACTCAACCACTGAAACATGCATGTCAATGTTTGACAAATAAAGTCTGGAAAATCAGGAAAAGAAGACCCACTGAATTAACTTCATTGGATTGTCTTAATATTTTCCCGTAGTTGCGGCCAGATTATAATACTGACAATTTGTCAAAAATCTTTTCCACTTTTGTTTAAAACTTCATCAGAACAACTGGACCCAAAACGCTCATTCCTCCCACCACTATCCCGACGCAACTCTGATTGTTTTTCTTTAATTGTTGTGATTAAATAACAGAAGTTTTCACACGTCTTCTGAAAACGAAGACATGATCCACAACATAAGATCTGGTAATACTGATCTCACTGAGCGGATGTCTCACTTCATCCACCTTTGATTAACACTCTGGCTCTGTTGTTATGCTACTCTCTTCTTTCATAGCTGATATTTTCCGACAGCACTCAGATGACGGTTCTCTGGGTCAGCGGTGATATTGAGGCTAACCTGGGGTGAGGAGGACTGATCCTTCCCTCCCCCCTCCCCCTATCCTCAGCTGTCCTGCAATGTGCTGCTGCTTGTCACTGAGGAGAAGTGGAACAGTGTTACCCCAATGATGACACACACACACACACACACACACACACACACGCACGCACGCACGCGCGCGCACACGCACGCACACACGTACGCACGCACACGCGCGCGCACACACACACACACACACACACGCACACACACACACACACACACACACACACACACACACACACACACACACACACACACACACACACACACTCTGTAGTTCTGCTGACAATGGGTTAAGATGACAGAGGGTTATGACTGACTCTGACACACTGCAGACCCCTCCACGCTGCACCCCAGAGTCCAACACAGGCGTCTTTGTGCTCCCTCTACCATCAGTGACAATCCATCACAGACTAACCTGACAGCCCACGGCAGGCCTGTGCCAAGCTCCGACTGCAACAATCTGCCCCAGCCCCAAATCTGAACCCAAAACCTTAAGACTGGACCACAAACATCCAGCAGTCCCCAGCTGCCTGCCCATTTTGTCTACTGAGATTAACATCTTCACTTTGTGAGGGGGCATTTTAGTTGTTACAAAATTTAGAAACTGCAGGTAAATAAAAATACTTGAAATCAAAAGATTTTGTTCCATTTAGCTGTGCCAAAAAACGAGTGAACCAGTATAAACCTGGAACTGGAATACTAAAATCAGATTCAACTACCATTGGTGTGGTTTGGTATGAAACTGAAACACACACGTGCATTAATGTTTTCAGGCAACAAAAAAGTTCTTAACTCAAGGGATGAGCCAGTGTCGTATCGACACACAACAGAAAACACAAACTGGATTTTAAAATCTTTTGGCATAATTTGTCAAAAATAATTGTTCCAATTTTTAACCTTTTTTTAAATATATCAGCATCGGCTAATATACTTCCTATGAAGCCGATTTAAAGTCAGGCACAGGCACATGTTTACTTACGTTCCTGATTAACACCCGTCCATCCATAGCACTGAACAGTGCACTCAATTATGATTTCACAGTTGGTTTGGTTCAGTGTTTAAAAACTGATTCAGCTGATGGTATTAATGACATTTTAGCAGCAAGGTGGAAAAACATCTGGGCATCAGCCCGAAAAATCAGCAGCACATACTATCGGCTGAACATGACCTCCGCATATCTGCATCAGTATCGGTACCAAAAGAACCAATGTTGGTCGACCTCTAATTAACATAAGTAGTTTGCATCATGTAAGATTTGGTTTTGTGGAAAGACAATAAACAATTACTGACTTTACCTGCCTCAGACAGCTCTTGTAATGGCCTCAGCTTGGAGAAATAAAGAATCAACAAACAAGCTAACAGCTAGTCAGATTGGAGCAAGTTTTAAAGTGTTTAAAACAGTTCGCACATCAGAAAGTTATTAGTAGTTCATGCTAATGCAATTTAAAATATTTACACTTCCAAAGATTTTTGCATTCTCTGGTTATTCTTCCAGAATTATTCTGGAAACCAGCCAGAAGTGCTACAGTAGCTAGCTTATAGCTAATTTCAACTGCAAATGACCACAAAATTCTAATAAATTAATGTAAAATTTAGTTACAGGCACCACTTTAAAATAAGGCTTCCCTACAAATGGCTAATAAATATTTTTCTAATTTTTATGAATTGATCTGTAACACTTTAACATTATTAAGTGTTCATTATGTATTAATTAAGGGTGAAAAAAGAGACTAGATTGACCAATTTCATTCATTTCATCTGGAGTAGCTGTGTTAAACGTGGTTCCTATGGAGGTGTAAATGTTAAAGTAACTCAAGAAGTGCTTTGAAATTTCTGATATTTGGGTCGTTTTAACTTCCTAAAAACAGGGTGTTGTGTATTTTTAATTTCACCTAACTGGAATTGATGGACCTCATAAACTCCCAAAACAAGCATAGATAATATATAGTTATTAACAATAAAACTAAATGTTAAATTTATTTCTTGAATTAAATCATCAAAGTTAAAATATTGTGATTTGCATCTCTCAGAGAGATTTTGTGTGGCTTTTCATAACAGAAATTTGCCTCTTCAGCAGGCTGCTCTTGTTTATGTTCAGATCTTTACTAATATTTTAGTACTTTTTGCATTCCTTCAAATAAAAAAAAAAATCATATTTTTGTGGCTCGTGAGGACTTGATGATTCTACTATTCCTGTTAAAACCCTCTTAGCCGGCGTAAACAGAACAGAGAATAAACCACAGACAATAATAAAGGGATCCTTTGTTTATTGATATGATTAAAGGGGCTTCCACTATAAGGTGTTACTAAATGTTTAGACACCTGATCTACAGAACTTTTAAACGGTTCGTCAGTTTTCATTGACACAAACATCTGACCAATATTTAACTAGATGCATCTTTGGTAGTGGTCTATGCACCAATCACAACACTCCAACAAGCTGCTCCTCTGCAGGGCTGTCATATCTCCTCGGTTTGTGTTCCATGGATACCCACGAGGATGTAACATCTCAAACTGCTTCTATCATTCCGTGCTACTTTTTTGCTGACAGAAGTTCGTGTTCGGCCTTTGCCTCCTCACTAGCGGAAGGTAGTCAGAATTAGCATGTGAGCTATGATGTAAAACATGTCCTGGAAGGATTAGCACCCGCTAGCTTGGCTAACTCAACGATTGGCTGAAGAAGGTCAGGACTGCATGGCTGTGTGGTCGTTTCATTGTTATCTCTATATTTCCAACCAGCCAGCGTCAGCTCAGGTCTCGACTTACCCTGCTTGCCCAGACCTGCCTGGTCCAGAAGCTTAGATGGCCACTTGCATCACACCAGGCAATCGATGGACAAGTACAAGACGTGTACATATATGTCAATAGATTGCTATGAACCTTACATTGCCTTTGTGACCTTATTTTGAGAAAACTAATATCTCCGGGCCCTTATTGCCACTACTTAATAATAGTTCCTGTAGAGGTGACAGCTGTCTGAAGACCACACAGCTTCTCCAACCCCCCATGGAAGAGCACACTTCGTGTTTAGTGTCACGGAGGAGGACGTAAGTCTGGGATGAACTCATTAAGACGGACATCTTTGATCTGAGTTTATAGCTTCCATTTTCACAGGGACCCGATCATATGCCAGCTTCTTAAGACCGACACGAGCACACAAACCCTCAGAAGGGCAAACACATGAATGGGTCATAAAGCCCTGGAGAGCGTGGCCCAACAGAGACGTGAAGCATAGATGTGCAGCAACAGCTAAACGTCGTGTCAGGTTTCTTGGGGCTCGTGCTAAATTTATCCTGCAGAAGGCTGAGGGGTTTAAATGCCAGCCTACAGTTGCTCCACACCAGTTGTTCTCCACACGTCTTCCACTCATTGCAAACTTGGACCAGGAGGAAGACAGGCACGCACACGTACACTCCAACACACACGCCCCAGAGGAAGGACCGAAGATCGCTCACTGAAGAGCAAATCCAAGTGAAAGAGGGATAGTTGCCCTTCCACATCGCGACCAGAACATTGTCCATCATGGAGCTCTTCGAGACCAACCCTTACTTCTTCCCTGACCAGCGCTTCTATGAAGGTGGAGATAGCTACTTCCCCTCTCGCCTGCCTGGGGGGTTCGACCAAGCTGGCTATCAGGACAGAAACTCCATGATGGGCTTGTGCGGGAGTCTTTCAGGCAATGTTGGCGTTGCAGGAACAGAAGAAAAAGCTTCTCCATCCAGCCTGTCGCCTCAGTCTGAACAGCACTGCCCCGGTCAGTGCCTACCGTGGGCCTGTAAGCTGTGCAAAAGGAAGACGGTGACCATGGACCGCCGGAGAGCAGCCACGCTGAGGGAGAAGAGACGTCTGAAGAAAGTGAACGAGGCCTTCGATGCTCTGAAGAGGAGCACCTTGATGAACCCCAACCAAAGGCTACCCAAGGTGGAGATTTTGCGAAGTGCCATACAGTACATAGAGAGGTTACAGGCGCTGGTGTCCTCCCTCAACCAGCAGGACACTGAGACGGGACAGACGGGGTTGCACTACCGACCCAACCCGGCCCAGCCCAGAGTGAGTATGACAGAAAATGGGATGGCGAGAGGTTTAAGATACAGGAGAAAAGCAGAAAAATGGATAAAAACCCACTGTGGTATAAAAGAGGCTGAGGGGCTGATGGAAATGAAGGTGACTGAGGTAAAAAAAGAAACAAACATAAGAATGGAGGACTTTAATTCCTTCTAAAAGAAACTTTGGGACTTCTAGATAAAAAATAAGTAAACAACTTTGTGCCTGTAGAGTTTTTTGAAGTTATTTTTAGATTTTTGAATCAAACTAACTTGAAAAAAAAACCCACCTTTCTGAAAGAAATGTTGTTTTTCCCTGAGGAGTAACTTGATGAAATAATTGCTGTGTGTGCATGTGACATCACACGTGAGACACTTTATTTCATAGTAGAACAGTGACTGACAGCGACTTCTGTGTGTGTCTCCACGGTAACAGGTGTCATCGTCCAGCGAGCCCAGTTCCAGCAGCACCTGCTGCAGCAGCCCAGAGTGGAGCAGCACTCCGGAGCAGTGCTCGCAGAGCTACAGCAGTGAGGGTGAGCACGCTTCAAAAACTCAGCGCCATCACACAACTCCTCCACCATCTCCTTTGGTCTGACTCGGCGTCTCTCTCCCTCTTGTTCTGCAGATCTCCTGAGTGCTGCTGAATCTCCTGAGCAGGGGAACATGCATGCTTTGACCTCCATAGTGGACAGCATCACTGGAGCTGATGGATCTGTGGCTTTTCCTGTAGACATTCCCAAATAGACCTTCCATACTCAACCATACACAAATGGTAATGAAACAACCAATCCTAAAGGGTGACTTAGCTTTTATTTTTAAGCGTCTACTGATTTGAGTGTTTTGTCTTATGCCAAATATTTGTGATTGATTAGAATTGTAACTTTGCTGATCCGAGGGTCTGATGGTAAACCAAATTCCTCCTTTCACAATGAGGCCTTTTTTCCACTTAAAAAAATTCCCTTATGCAGTGGTCCGAACTGATCTGTCAGAGTTGCAGAAACTTAGATTTAATGACTTAGCTGCATGAACCCAAAACCCAATCAGAGTGTATCTCTGCGTTTCTACAGTAGATCCACAGAGAAATAATAAAGGCTGGTTCTGATTTTATTTTGAAATTTTTCCTCTTTTCAAAATCTTTCCCTTGTTTGTGTGAGTTTTATGCTTGAAAACAACATGAGTTTTATTTGTGGGGCCAATATGTACCATGGCAGTTTTGACCAAGATCTGCTTAATTTAAACAGGTTATGAATGCTAGTGTTGTAAATATGTTCCCTTTTTTCTACAGAGTGGTTTTTGACATTCGGTTTTTTATTCTTTGCTAACTTATTGTTGACTTTTATAACTATGATTGTTGTGTATTTGTAGATGTTCTGAAAAGTGATATTTTCTGTTTAATTCTCGCAATAAAGACCATTTTCAATATCTTGTCTGATGAAGTCTTGAACTGGTTTAAACCATCTTCCACCCCAGACCTTAAAGATGACATTATCTGCATTCTCACATAATACTGCAAAATCTTGTGTGGCCTGTTAACGCTCTTGCCCTGTGTTGTGAATGACTCAACTACTACACCAAGTATCAGCTCATTATCTGTGAAACGGACTGATTTAAAGTCACACTTGTGTGCAATAGGGCGTGGGATTGTGTCGTCATCACTGGTACGGCCACCATGTTGGTAGCCTCCTTATCTACCTTGTCTTGTTACTCCAGACAACAGCGCACTCAGTATTGCGACTTCATTTAATCTATAGGTCATTTGATCAGTTATTACTCAACCATGGTAAATCGCCGCAGTTCAACACATGATCGCCAAGGGAAAATGGTGGAGGCAAAACCACGGAGACCAAGTGTCTGACATAACAGTGTTGTCGGCTCACTTGGATCGCAGCTGTAAGACCCTACCATCTCACCAGACGAAGCAACATTTTTCCAATCCTTTATTGTCCAATTTTGGTGAACCTGTGTGAACTCTAGCCTCAGTTTTCAGTTCGTAGCTGACGGGAGTGGCACATGGTGTGGTCTTCTGCTACTGGAGCCCATCAGCCTCACGGTCCGACGTGTTGTGTGTTCAGAGATGCTCTTCTGCGTACCTTGGTTGTAATGAGTGGTTATTTGAGTTATTGTTGCTTTTCTATCAGCTCGAACCAGTCTGGCCATTCTCCTCTGACCTCCGGCCTCAAAAAGGCATTTTCGCCCACAGAGCTGCTGCTCACTGGATGTTTTTCCTTTTTCAGACCATTCTCTGTAAAACCTAGAGATGGTTGTACGTGACAATCTCAGATCAGTAGTTTCTGAAATACTCAGACCAGCCAGTCTGGCACCAACAACCATGTCATGTTCAAAGTCACTCAAATCACCTTTCTTCCCTATTCTGAAGCTCGGTTTGAACTGCAGCGGATCGTATTGACCATGTATACATGCCTACATGGCCAGTGAGTGTATACTGGTAGGCTAATATGGACACACTAACCCCTTCTTTTCACCGGCCATGAAAGCGGTCGCGTAACATAATAGCTCCTTCCCAAGCAAGACAAATTCTGATGCGAAACAGGAACTAAAGTGTTCCACACAGCTGATCTCATGATGTCACAAAATCACGCGAGAATTGCAACACAGCGTGTGATTTCAGAAGCCCACATAACATAATAAGGAAGGAGAAAGACAGCTGCATGTATCAAAAAAGGTCTGTGGTTTATTCTCTGTTCTGTTTACGTCGGCTAAGAGGGTTTTAACAGGAAGTGACATGCGTTTACCTGCATGTGACTTTTCTTTTGAAAGTTTCCAGATGTTTTACACTGTTTTTGTGTTTGTCTTTCTGGTGCAATCTAAACTGTGGGTTTTTTCGTGTTATGGAAGCGTAGCGCGTACAAAATAGACTTGGAACGTGATGATGGCATCCCCTCGCTTCTGGGGTACATCCAAAACGTTACACGTTATTGCGAGTGCAAAGGAACTCATCCACTATAACGGCGGCTAATTGCAGCGTAGTATGTTTTGCAGCCGTTTTGGGACGCTTTCACATGCAGTGGAAAGAAGGAGTAAAGCACAGCACAACTTCTTCTGGTACACTTCTTGTACCATCATCAATGGGATGACAATTTTGATTGTTTTACTAGAAAAATCAGTAAATGAAACATATACCTCTCACCCGGACATTTACTTTTGCTCACACTGCAAAGCAGGTAGCCCAAAATTGTGCAGAACTGTGGCGGCAACAAGTTGTCATTGGTGCTCCAGTCTTGAGTCTTTCATATGGATCCAAACTGTTTATAATGCTGATTTTGTCCACATACCGGTCCCTGGCTTCTCTATTTAACATATCCCTGTAATCTGCATCCTTTTCAGGATTTTAACATGTTGTTTATTACCTCCTTTCTTCTGCTTCTTCTCTGCGATGTACCGTTTGTTTTCATGGTTTGTTTACACTCGTAAGGCCATCAACATGGCCGCCATGTCCCAGAATGCAACGCGTGATGCCAAGTCCTGTGAGCTGTGGCAGCCATCTTGAATTGGTTTGTGAATTTCAGAGTTTCACGCAAATCTTTTCATCTTTCAGTGATGGGCTATAGCAATGACCATTTAAAAGAAGGCAAATATTCAAGTTTCTTTTTTTAAAAACAGCTTTACTCATGTCTACATAGTCATAAATACAGTACTTTTTTCTTTTTGGATAGCCAAATAATAAAATCTTGATTTGTCAGCATTGCTTCACACCTGGAATAAAGACACAGTACTCATAGCTGCCACATAGCACATTACATCTTTTAGACACCTTGGAAAAAAACTAAAATAAATAAAAATAAGATTGTTCAGCCATCCAGCAATTCACTAGTTCATCTGCTGTGTTCTCGTTGGATGAGGAGTTTGTCAGATGAGACTGATCGCTGGCTCGTCTCTATGGAAACTAAACCAGAGGCGACGAAGCAACATCTGATTACAAGAGCAGTATTGTGTGTGTATCGTTGGCTGATGTTGAGCAGCAATTCTTTCTGTTTATCTTGAGTTTAAAATCAACAGGGATGAGCTATAGTGTTCAAACTACCGTCCACACACACACACCAAAAGGTCACGGTCACACGGCTGGGGTCAGCCTTTCACTCACACACGACCCCTCACAAGTCTCCAGAAGATAGGCTGATTTGCTCGCACACACACACACACGCACGCACACACTCATATTAAATTTCCCTCCCTTTCTAGGCTACATAGTGTCATACAGAAGGCGATAGAGGCAGAAAGAGGAAGAGAAGTAACAGCTACATCGTGTCAAAAAATTGGACAAGAAGAAGAGAAAAAGGAAAGAAGAGGAGAAGAGGCAAAGAGAGATTTGGACCCATTAACCTGTGAAGAGTCCCTTTAGAGATGCACACTTTCCTTTAGTGAGTCCGCCCCACCACTACGTTACACACAGCGCACAGCAAAAGACACGCAAAGGTCCAACACAGAGAGAAAGAGAAAGAAAGAGAACAGTCACTATCGAATACAGGGCATTGGGTTCCATACAGCAATGTTACATTGTTTTCCATATATACTTCCAATATATATATATATCATATATATAATATTTCTATAAAAAACATAAGTTATCCATTTTATGTACAAAGACGATAGATGATTAATACCTTGCATAACCGGTAGAAGGGTTTTGGGCAGAGGAAAACTGCCATTTATACAAGTATTCTTCACTCTCAAGTCCAAAGTAATGACTCGTCTTCATCCTCTTGAACCTTTTTCACACTATTCAACACCATGTTGTGTTAACACAGGAAGATTTGTGCGGTCTTTGTCACGTTGAGACTATTAGAACCAGGACAAGGACCCACAGCCAAGATAGGGAGAGCAGGGACACAACACCATGACAACAAGGCTACTGGGTGCACTGGGGTAAACAGGGCGAGACCAGGACGAGCCTCCTTTACAGCAGCAAGCGCAGCCAATCAGCACTCTCAGAGTTCAAAGGTCATAGTTGCCCCACTGTATTGCACGTGTCCGAAGGGGAAGAGAGAGATGAAAGGAAGGAGGTAAGGCTGGGCGACAGAGGAGAGAGAGACCTCACTCTGCCGGCGTTCCCAGGATTTGTCCTCTCCAGATTTGGCATATCACTCTCAAAAGGCCGCAAGCATGTGTCCGTATAGGTAATGAGAATGCACTGGAAAACAGAATCCAGGGAGGACATTAGGCAAGAGGGATCAAATTAAGATTGCAGAATGCAGAAAAGGCAAATTTATTTTAGCAGAAACCATTATAAACCAACAAACCATTATTTATTCGTGAACGGATGTTTACTTCTTAATTTTGTCTTCAAGTTTCTGATAGTTAAATATGTAATGGCAAATCTGCAAAACAAGCTAGCCTAAAACCTTTTCTTCATGCCTCTAAACAATGTTCTAACATGATATAGCTGTAAATAATTTGTAGAGATAAAAAAAAAGTGGTTCTCTCACATTTGTCCATTAACCTCAGCCAATAACACGGCTCAGTCCAAAACCAGCGATTGGACCAGCTGTCTCACAAATTCCTACACTTCCACATTTTCCTGGGTCCTCTCTTTAATAATAATAATAATAATGCATTGAACTTATATAGCGCTTTTCAATACACCCAATGACGCTTTCACACACGCTCACATTCACACACTGCTAGTGATGGTAAGCTACTTGTAGCCACAGCCACCCTGGGGAGGTCTGACAGAAGCGAGGCTGCCATTTGGCGCCGTTGGCCCCTCTGACCACCACTAACACAGGCAAGTTGGGTGAAGTGTCTTGCCCAAGGACACAACAGCAGGATACCCCTGGCGGGAGCTGGAATCGAGCCCATGACCCTCCGATCATGAGGCAACCCGCTCTACCACCTGTGCTACTGCTGCACCCTTTACGTGCTCGTCTATTTAGCAACAGAGCACCACTGGTGTGAGAGGTTCTTCGCTCAATAATATCGGAGAAGGAGAAACAGCCGGCTGCTACCACTTCAACTTTAGGACAAACTACCAGAGTCCCAAAGAGAAAAATAACGTGAAGTCATGGACAAAAAAGACATTTGGAGAAAGTGGCGACGGGTGTTTAGCTCTCTCTTGTTTGACTGTGGTAATGTGTGTTACGGTATCAGGCAGATGTGCCCTAGGGATGGTAGCTGTGTGAGCTCTGTGACTGTGTTTGTGTTTAAAAGCTAGCTTGTTTCGCAGATTGCGGTTGCAGCTTTAAATCTAATACTTGCAAAGGTAGCCCAAGTAGTTAGTTATACCATGTCCTGGTCTCTAACACATGTTAAGAAGACATTTCTAGGGCTTCAAGGGTCTGCTCAACCATTTTATAGAGCACAATTTAGCTTCTACATCTTATTGAAGCATGCATTGAAATTAAACAGCAACAAGAAAATAAAACAATGGAAGGATTGAATAAAAAGTAAAACTTGACATTATGAATGCATTAATTTCAAAGGTTGAAATCCATTTAAATGAACAGACAAGTTTTGCCTAACATCAGTGCAGGTATTTGTCAGAATTAGTGCCACACAGCTGGTTAAAAACCCACAAATCTGCAGCTACACTGTTTTGTTAGCTTACCTGGTAGCATTAATGCTACGGTTAGTAAGTCAAATGCAGTTAGCAGGAGTAGGTCCGCACGGCCGAGGGGTCGAGTCTCGGGGGTGCTGGGGGTGCAGCTGCAGAGGGCATGGTAGAGCGCGTGTTGGGCACAGCAGAACAAAGAGGACGTGCAGCTAGTCAGGTAGCAGAAACACATAAAACAGGACTGGAGTTTTGCTTGTTGGAACAAACCTTCAGGCTGAAGTTGCTTCCTGGGAGCCAAATTCATAGAAGGAGGCATGGACATGGCGGGCATGCGGAAGCCAGCCGGAAGCGTTTCCATGGAGCCTGCCATCATCCCAAGACCTGTCCCTCCCTCACGAGCCCGAAACCTCTTACGCCATGATGGAGAGCGTCGAAATGACTTGTCATCCCCACTCTACGACGAGAGGAGAAAATACGATGATGCTATTCATTTTTGATTAACTTTTCAGTTTCTGATAAAAAAAATTAGATTCTTGCTAAGTCACCTCCTCCAGTCGGCGATCTGTTCCCAAGGCTAACAGGTTGTTAAACTCCCTCTCTAGAACCTGCCGTGCCTGAAAAACAATTAGTTTTTGTGAAGAAGATGGAGAGAAACCGTGTCGAAGTGAATAAACGTGAAACGAGGCTAGCGAATGCTTGTAAACCACCACTAAAACCTCTACATAGAGACTAGTGATGATAATTTACAGACTTTTGAGTAAATAAGAGTTATTCCTGAGCTAAAACAGAAACTGGTGATGAGGTGTGACCAAACTCTACATGAATTCAATGCAAAACAAGTGGCTGTTAAAACCAGTTCAGCCATTAGGTGAGGAGTGCCCCCAGCATTGTGGGGCGTATTTTCCTCGATAACTACCTGTGTGTTCTGCATGGGGATCTGCAGGATGAGCGCTAGGCTGCTGTAATCGAAAGTCTCATCTAGAGAGACGAGCGCCCCGTGAACGCCGCTCTCCAACAGGTTACCGCTGTACTCCCTTAGACCAATGGACTGAACCCAGTGGATCACCTGCTCATTGGTCCACACCAGAATATCTGCACAAAAAAGTTCATACAACTATAAAAACAATCAGCCTATTGTACCTTATGACTGGTAAATAAAGGAGTCAAAGAGATAAAGAGGTAATGTGCATGTCAACATGGTGTCAGCTCTCTAGCACACTCCCTTTGTTCATTTAAAGCACAGCTGTCAGCCAGCTTTTCAAGTAAGAACAGGCGGAGTGTGTGCATCTGTGTGTGTGTGCGCGCGTGTAAATGGGGCAGCATTCTGATTTAACACAACAGCTGAGTCAAGTTCATGTGCTTAGCTCAAGGTCAAAAGGGCGAGAGGGTTTACTGGATCTAAATGTGCATGCCAGCGCGTGTGTGGACCGCTCCACTCTCAAGAGGGGCTTTAGATCACAAGACAGTTGAAGAAGCACCTGTTTCAGTGTCAAGTACAAATGTACACTATCACATCAAAACCACTAGATGGTACTCTGGTCTGATGGGCGTAGAAATGTGCCTGTTTGTGTGTGTGTGTGTGTGTGTTTACATGGTTTTAGAGGTACCTTTCATATCATGTTGGCTGTCGTCTCTCCGGCGCTCCAACTCTTTCCTGTCATAATTTAGCCTCTTCAAGCACATAATCCCATACTGCAGACTAGCCCTGGTGTACACACACACACACACACACACACACACACACACACACACACACACACACACACACACACACACACACACACACACACACACACACACACACACACACACACACACACACACACACACACACACACACACACACACACACACACACACACACACACCAAGCAGAAGACATCATTGGCTCTCTTTCCTCCAACGCTTATGCTAACAGAGGAAGCAGATCAAACCGAGCTCGTTGTCATGGCGGCAGACCTGTGAAAGCTGTCCACCATCTTCAGGTGGCTCCTCAGGTCCTTCTTGGTCAGATGGTCCAGCATTCGCGCATCAACCAGACACTCCATGAAGTAGGAGCGGTACTGAGGCAGGCCGAGACTGGGCAGCCACTCGTTCCCAATCCACTCATGATTCATGTCCCCGTACGCCAACGTCTAAAGGGACAACAGCTGTCAATGCTACACACAGGTCCAAAAAATGAGCAGATCTACGCAGAAACGTAGAGTAACGTATGCCAATCAGATAATATTAAAATAATTTATTAGTGTTTCATACTTCGTTCAGTGTTTCTAATTCTTGTGGTAAATTGAAATGTCAAAAACTTGTATTGGATTGTTCTTTTAACTAGGCATTTGGTTTGTTTCTACTGCTGTGCATCTTCAACTTTATAATCACAGACACACTCAGACGTGTCTGTGTTGGCGTAGCTTTAAAAAGGTTTCATTGTGGTTCACCCAAAGCTATTGTGGAAACCTTTTAATTCCTGTTAACTCTCTTTCTAAGGGTGAAAGAATATCGGTCAAGTGGTTCCAACAAGAACCAACTGTTGAGGATAGAACAATTCCTTTGAGTGTACCACCACCAGTAATATTTGCTCGTATCCCCTTAAAAGTCAAATTAGATATTATATTTCTAAACGTGTAAAGCTGGTATTTTGCACAGAATTCCACTTCAGAAGATCTTTCACTTGGATCAGAGATGTAGATCATCTTATTTTAAAGGTCCTATAAAGAAACAGGAGCATGATGGATGCTACTGAGGAATTTTGAACCATAATCTAAATTGGTATAAAGCTGGAAAATAACCCCAATCCTAATCTCTTTTTCTGTTTTTGAGTGTTTTTCTGTGACTGATGAGTTTAGGTGGAGATCAGCAGCCTTACCTGTGCCCAGCTGCCCTCCTCATTGTCCTGAGCAGCAGCATGGTGGAGACAACGTATAAGATTAGAGAAATCACACACACACACACACACACACACACACACACACACACACACACACACACACACACACACACACACACACACACACACACACACACACACACACACACACACACACACACACACACACACACACACACACACACACACACACACACACACACACACACACACACACACACACACTCATACATTGCATTAAAACACACAAGCGCTCTGTAGTTTTCACCCTACAGTTAACTTGCATACACATATTATCAGGTGACCACAGTACACATCAGTTATCTGACTAACAAATAACAGCGGAGGCACAAAGAGCATGTGAGTGTGTTAGGATGTAGCTGGTGGAGCTGGTGTTAGGTGGGGTTGAGGTGGGTTCCTAGGGAGGACATATGTGCGTTGCCATAGGGACTGTGTAAGTGTGAAAAAGTGTGGGTTAACGTGGAGGTGGGGGAGCACCCAGATGGTACTGACCGCTTTAGTGGAGGAAGCCAGGTTCTCCATCTCTTCATGAGTCACCCACACATTTCCGGAGGACTGCTCAGAGGGCAAAAACGCACACACACGCACACACACACACACACACACACACACACACACACACACACACACACACACACACACACACACACACACACACACACACACACACACACACACACACACACACACACACACACGCGCGCGCAAGCACACACAAACATAAGTACACGTACGCATGCACGCACATAAAAATACACACACACACACACACACGCGCAAGCACACACACACACACACACACGCAAGCACACACAAACATAAGTACACGTACGCATGCACGCACATAAAAATACACACACACACACACACACACACACACACACACACACACACACACACACACACACACGCAAGCACACACACACACACGCAAGCACACACAAACATAAGTACACGTACGCATGCACGCACATAAAAATACACACACACACACACACGCGCAAGCACACACACACACACACACACACACACACACACACACACACACACACACACACACACACGCAAGCACACACAAACATGAGTACACATACGCATGCACGCACATAAAAACACACACACATACAGACAAACACTGTGTTGAGTGATACGAAGGAAGGGAGTGTATTCAGGCACTACTTGTGTGTTGTTCTCCAACTATAATTCATGCAGTTCAAAGCTGCTGAAGAGACCCAGATGAAAGATAAATCAAGACCGAAGCAAGAATTTTAAAATAAAAGAGCTATAAAGTGTAAAGAGGCATCACCTGGGCATGCAAAGTGATGTGTAGCAGTGATGCTGAATTCTGTACAGATTAACTTTGCTTTGTATGCACAATCAACTGCCTAGGACAGAGGGACAAATCTGCTATCGGTTGTGCTTGTTTACCGTTCTGGAGGTGAGTGGTGCAGAGGGGCTGGTGAGGGAGACCATCTCCTGGATGGCCAAGCGCAGTTTGAGTCGGTGCAGAGGGTTGCTGATGCCAATCTCTCTCTGGATCTCCGTGTCTGACAGCGCTGACATGATGGCTCCACTCTTCACATTGGCGCGACAGGCTGCCACATACCAGGCTGGCATCCCCACCCACAGCTGGCGGGAGCCATCAAGACATTTAACGTCAGCACCGGGGAAAGCAGATCAAGCTGTGCACTCATATGTTTACAGTCTCTGTATTAAAGGGGATCAGCAGCCCGACGGGAACAAGACAAAAGGAGATTTTTATGGGTGTTTGGAAGAAAAGGGAAATACCTCTAGCCATGACACAACAGTGGGACCATCCCATTGTGCAAACGGAAGACCTTTTTTCCTTGCGTCTTCCAGAAGCTCGTGTCTGAAAAATAGAATACACAGAAAGTAAGGAAGAAAAGTGAGGAGCAGCAACAAAAAGGTAAATAACTGCAAGAAAGAAACAGAGATGCTTTTACTTTTTCTTCATCCTGCGGTCCCTCTCGGCCTGTGTGCCCAGTTTTCCCAGAGTCATAGTGTCACCGATGCCCATCTCAAAGTCTAAAAGCAAACAATATGTGTCAGCGTCCATTATTCTTGTGAAATGGAGCGCTGTGGTCTGCAGCCTGCAGAGAACCTGTTAAAGCTGGCAGAGACTGGCCATCCCTGCCAACAGTCTGGTCCATCCGACCCTTCTCCTTCTTCCCAAACAATCGGCCAATGGACGACTTGATTCCTTTCTTCTGTTTTCTGCAAACAATGAAAAGATTATGTAATAATAGTCACAAAAAAAGAAACGAGTAAACAAAGTAGTATCTAGCAGGAAATTCATAGAATTCAGTAAATTTTCAAGGGAATTGAAATTATCGAGCTAACTGGTAAATGATAAATGGCCTGTATTTGATGTAGCGCTTTCTAGAGTCCTGGAACCCCCCAAGGCACTTTATAACACAATCAGTCATTCACCCATTCACACACACATTCACACCCTCGTGGGGATGAGCTACGATGTGGTCTCAGCTGCCCTGGAGAGCGCTGACGGAGGCGAGGCTGCCGAGCGCTCGCACCACCGATCCCTTCGACCACCATCAGCGGGCAAGGTGAGTTAAGTGTAAGCGATAAACTGAGCGGGGCTCGAACTCGCAACCTTCCAACTCCTGTGCCATGGTCAGAATTCTCTCATAAAATTTCATTTACTCAACTGAGTCCTACTCAGTTGCAATTTATTTAAAATTACACAAAAATACTTCATTTTTGTGTAATTTTCCCACAAGCTGGAGGAAGGACATGTCAGCACAAAAACTCAAACAGCCCATTTTTACACTTTTATTCTGTTTGTTGTGACTCTATTTGTCACGCTCTGTTACCTGTGCTGTTTGTGGTTGTGTAGCTGAGAGAGAGAGAGAGAGAGAGAGTGTGTGTGTGTGTGTGTGTGTGTGTGTTTATGTTTACCCTCGTCCGTCTTCCAGACTGCCAGTGAACTGAGCAAAATTGGCTTCCAGCCGTAAACTCCGCGGCGAGGAAGGAGGTGATGTCTCACACTTGATTGTAGCTTTGTCCACTTCCACTGGAGACTGAAAGAGCCACAGAGACACCTCAACTCACTTATAATAGATGTTCCAAAGACTAAAAACTGTGAGACTTTGGATGTTTTTGCAAACTTACAGCAACCTTTCTTCTGTGTTTCCTCAAATCACTTGGCTATCAGAAACAAATAATTAAATGTAAGCCTGTTAAAAGTCTGTTTATTTGATGAAGGCCGTGTGCGTGGTGCATTCACTGACCAAAGTCATGATTCCTAGATGATGGCTGGTGTTTCGACCATGATGTTTTGGTGTGGAGTGGCCGCTGGTGGGTGGGGAGGAGGATGAAGCCAGGGACTGGGCCGTGGCGGAGGTAGGCAGAGCACGAGGTCGAAGTGTCACATTGAGACCGTCCATGCTGCCGCTGTTCACACGAGACTCAATCTCATCCGCACGCAGGTCTGCTGACTCTCTCTCTACCTGGATCATCCTGCAATCACACCAACACACACATGAACAAACATAATGGAGATGTTTTACATCTCTTCAATACTCATACAAATGAAGAATGGTAAAAATCAGACTGTATATAAAAACGTGGATGTGGAGCTGAAAGCCCCGCCCACTCATTAATTATGACTAAATGTATATAACAAGCAAACATGGGTACATGCAACAGCAAGATGAAAAGTATGTAAATAAAGTCAAGTGGACAAAAATAATCTGCTTTAGCCAGAAAAATGTCTCATTTAGAGGGGGCGGGGCTTAAACCTGTACAGAAGCCCGCCACTATGGAGCAATAATTTTATTATAGCTTCAATGTTTTTGTTAAAGCTCTCATTCACTCACTGTTTCCTGATTCAGGAATTAGAAATTAGCCAGAAGAGAGAGAGAGAGAGTGTGTGTGTGTGTGTGTGTGTGTGTGTGTGTGTGTGTGTGTGTGTGTGTGTGTGGGTGGGGGTGGGGGGTTGGCAGAGGTGGGGGATGGGGTGGTGGTGGAGTCTTACTCATTACTCATTAATATTCATAATAGGCCAACTTCTGGCCTCGGTTTGGCTGACAGCAGCACAACACTTCCGCCGTTCACTCTTCTTTCTCGGGTCCACAAATAATACACAAACAACAAAAGCCTGAGCATGTTCTGCCATGCTGTGGAGTTGCTAATGCTAACGGTTAGCTTACTAGCTGAAACCTGCTCTGCTCTTCCTTGGAAGCTAAATCAACAACGGCCTTCCACGGCCATAAGCTAAGATGGGTGAGTCCATGAATGCATGTATTTCTCTGTGAGGTAGAAGGGACTGGGTTATTCTGACCCGAGCATTTCTCCACATGTTTTCATTTGGTGGTTAATGCAGGAAATAGGTGCAGAACACTACTTTCATGTTCAGCATTTATGTTAAACTCAGAGTGACCAATCGTATTTCAAAAAGAACAAGTATTATCCACTTGTTGAGTACTAGCAGGTCAAAATGTCTAACTTGTTAAGGTTGAGTTCAGTACGGTTTGTTTTTATAAGTAAGTAAGTAAAAGTTTATTTATATAGCGTCTTTCACAGATATAAATCACAAAGCGCTGTAAATAAGTAAATTTTGTTCTTTGTTGCTGCTTGAAACCTTCCTTTTATAGTTCTTGTAGTTATTGTAGCTATAAACTTTGATAAACTCATCATCATTTCTCTGTTTTTGTGCTGTCTACGTGAGCGAAAATGTAGCATTTGTATCAACAAAATGAGTTTCTGTTTTGTAACCATCTGAGGTCTTTCCTATACGTTCCTCTGGATTGTCTTAATTTCCCCCTGGAGAGTCATGTAATGTAATGTGCCTGAAATATGCAACCTTATCTCCTCATTGATGGCATCAAGTTGCTCTTGCAGCATGAGCGCGAGAGTCTGAGCATCTGATTGGCCGCTGGGGGACAGCAGGGCCGAGCTGACGTCGTCGTCCATGTCTGACTCGGCCTCGATGTCACTGCCGAGCAGGTGGCTTACGCTCCCGCGTAGAGACGGGTAGTCCTGTTCAAACACGGCACACACCTAAACACGAACAAAACCAAACGTGGTTCAAACCAAGCACTTCTGAACTTTAAAAATAAAATGTCTGAACTACGTGTGCAGATTCTGAATAGAAGCATACATGTAAAAAAAAGCTGTTTTGGGGAGTGCGGGAAGAAATGGATGAACAAGAAACTTACATCACACATCATGTCCAGCAGCAGGTGAGAGAGACAGGAAGACGGAGAGGTTAGTAGAGAATGGGAAGTTAGGCGTGAGGATCATCACACAAAGCCAAGCACTGACACTTACTAACAACAGCAGACATGAACCTGAAAGTAAACACGGGCAAAGGGCTGCATGAGGTTAGGAGAGTGGTTAACATGTCATCTGTGTATGTTGGGTTGCTTTGGCGTCATGGAAACCAGAATCATCACCTTGTTTGGGTCGTCTCGTAGCGCCGACAGCCTGCCCTTCTGAGCCCGCCTGATCACAGTGGTGCTGTAGTGGCCGTCCTGACCCTCCACCACGGAGAAGCGGAGGTCACTGGAGCTCCCCAGGTGAGACCTTAGATAAGATACACGTCTGACCCTATTGGACATAAAACGGTGAAAATATAAACACAGGCAGGAGAAAGGATTACCGAGGATGAGTCCCATCTCCAAAAGCCCCGCTGCGGCGTTTCAGATGATCAATCTCATTTCTCAGTTTGTCAATCTCTCCAATCAGGCGTTCCTAAAAGAGAGAGGGGTGTTAGTAAGGACTGAGTTTTCTAATTGATATTTACTTCATTATAAGAATAATCCTTTAAATCGTCAAACGTGTGGACTAAAATATATGAATGTAAAAGGCTTGTGTGCTTGTTTACAGTCATCAATAAAACTATTAGGTGATTTAAACATCTCTAAATAATGATTTTATTACAACAATTAGCAGCTTTGGATTTTCTTTAAGCTAAATAACAAAATATTTTATGATTTTCTGTCTACTGTATGAACAAAAAGGGAGTTAGGACAGGTGGTGGAGATTAAGCTTAGTTCAGACTCTTTCAACTCATCAATCTTCTCCGCCCAAAATACAAATAGCCCTGTGCTCAAAAAGTCTTTTTATCCCAACAAGTCTTCAAGGAAATTAAGAATTCCAGTTTTCCGTCTTTCTACAAGTTTTCCTTTTAGAATCTGCTGCTCCATTCTGCAGCCACATCTGCAGGAATGTGGCCGCCACAAAGAAAAAATCTTCTCTGCATCCTTCCCTCAAAAACTCGACATCACATGTTTGCAAATCAGCATTTGAAAAAGACTGAATTATTTTGGACACAAGACTGAATAAAATGGATCTTTTAATCTGCAACGAGGCGAGGTGTGTTAGAAGGTGATTAGGTTTTACGAGCAAAATCCATAATAGGACCTCATCTTTTAATACTTCTGTCCAAAACATGGATTGAAAGGAAGGTGTCATAATATTATATTTAGTTAAAGCACTTAGGGAAGTGATTTATTCATTTTTCACGTCTCATGACAGGATTTTTTTTTGCTGGAAACCAAACGCGTTTTGCTTGAGCATCACCGACCCTGGTGTGGTGGAATTCTTCGAGCTGTTTCTGGCAGTTCTCCAGGTCCTGAATGAGGGAGTTCTAAAGAGAAGAACTTGCATTAAACATATTTTCTATTTTTTTTGTAGATTATGCATCTTGTGTTTAATGAGCAATTAGAGCTGGCGCTGCTTCAGCTGAACATGTGCCCAGGTCTTGCCTTGTCCTCCAGGGCAGCCATGCGCTCCTTCAGATGGAGCTGCAGACGTTCGTTGGACTCCGTGAGCAAACGATCCACCGTGTCAGACAAACGCTTGTTGTGCTCTTCATTCATTTTCTCCCTCTGACGAGCCTATGAAAACAGTACTGTCACATTTTCTCTTCGCTACAGACTCCATGTGGGTGTATTTATGCAGCTAATTAAGCATTTCTACACGGATTAAAGGATGAAGTGTGTGTTTAGCTCTAGATCACCAGCTGCCAGATACGGGTCTTCTTGGCCAACAATGGATCTCACAGCCAGAACGGTTTAATTACCATCATTTACTAAATGATTAAAGGGTTAAACAGGTTCTCTCAAATGGGAAAAGCTGTGCTTCATACGTGTTCTGCTGTAATTTCCTTTAAGTAAATTTGTCACGGATATGCATAAACACACACATCTGCATGCTCTGGGAGTTCTTTTGGCTAAATATAGTCATGAGATCGTAGAGAAGGAGAAGGAGAGAATTTAGCAGTGCGTGAATTATTCAGAGCCTAAAGATAGTAGCCAATCAGTCTTAAAGAGGGAAGCAAGGGAGGAGGGGGCACAGGGATGAGAGGATTTTGATTTGAATTCATGCAAAATGCACTGGGAATACTGAGAATTCATCTTAAATGTGTGTTTCTGATGTTTATGCATAAAGGAGCCCCCCACACGCACACACACACACACATACTCTTGCAAGCTCTTGGTTCTTCTCATCCTGTTGTGACTCCAGCTGTCTGAGCCTCTCCTCCACGTTGCCGTGGCGCTCCTCGGCCTGCAGGGGGAGACGCATTCATAGGCCTTCAGTGCAGCCGCCCTTAGAAGGGCTGTGTTCCATTTTTATCTGCATTACACATCACCAGCTGGGAGTTTGCATGCGTTACCTTGGAAAGTGCTGCGACTCTCTGAGCCAGTTCAGCTTCCACCTCTGGCAGCGTCTCCGCCTTCCTCATGGTCTGAGCCAGCCTTTGTTCTGCCATCTCCAGCATCTCCTGCAGCTGGCGCACTTTCTCTTCACTCTAACACACACACACACACACACACACACACACACACACACACACACACACACACACACACACACACACACACACACACACACACACACACACACACACACACACACACACACACACACACACATTACTAGGAGGAACATTGGTGCTACCGCAACAGTGATCCAGTGTAGCCAAGGAGTGTAACACAAAAGGGATTTAAGATGCTGCTGGTGTTTCCATTCAGTCAATTTTACCCAGAGACCTTTAAAACTGAATGTAACTCACTTACTTTATGCTTTCCAAAATCTTAGATGGGATTTTGTAGATAACTGAAGCAACAAATATTGACATGATGCAAGATAAAAAGCAAAAGGATAGCACCGTGAGTCAGAAAACATCAATTTACACATTTAAGTGTGTTGAACATATTAGAACACCATGCATTTGAATGTTTTTACTCCAAGGATGATTTGTGCCATTTATTGTTTAGTCTGATAGCATTTGTACCATCGAGCCTTTTGTTATTATGTTTTTCGTGGATGCTGGTACCTGTCTGTGCAGTGAATCTTTGGTGGCCAGTTCATTCTCCAGTTTATCGTTGAGGTCGTGGATGTGTGTGGTCTCCCGCTGGGCGGCCAGGTAGCGTTTCTCTAGGGTTGTTATTCTCTCCTCCAAATCCTCTCTCTTTACGAACAAAAACACAGTTAAAACAGAATAAAACAAGACAAACGTTCCTGATACACTTACAAAAATAATCAAAATGTGCTATCAAATGATTAAAGTTACTGGGTCTTGTATGCAAATTGCAAATGAAAAAAAAGTGCTTTTGCAGAAGATTTGTGGGTTTGAAAAAATCACTTCATAGAGTGGAAATGATTTCAACAGTTCGTATAAGTGGTAAACAATTAGAAAATGAAGCAAATTAAAATCTATACTAGTAAAAATGGTATTATATACATTTATGATGTCATTTTACAGCACCATACAGGTTTGATCTAATATTTTAATGTGTTAATTTGTTGGTTATTCTGTATTATAAAGCCATTGAACATAAGAGAGAAAACTGAACATTACCATACCATCACAGCCGTGTCTATGTTCACTTTCTCAGAAGGCAAAATAACATTTCAGGAGGGGGAAATAACATGTTTAAAAGAGAAATCTAGTCGAACGTTAAGGATTTTAAAAAGAAGCAACATTTTCTAAATGTTTTTGATATTTACTGCAATATCAGTACACCAATAACTCAAAAAGGCTTTAATTTATCTTTACAATTTATGTAAATTATATCCAACAGTTTCAAGTTCTGTTTACAAAATAAAGCTTTTTAAAATTATAAGATACTTTAGCAGTTTTCTCTTTTTATATCCCCATCAGAAACAACTTTGTCTTTTATTTCTAATAATTTTGGGGAAAAGTATTAATGTGTGTGTCATATTTAAAAGTGTCCCTCCATTCTTTCCTCCCACCTCCCTCTGCTCCCTCTGTTGTTTGATTGACAGCTCCTCGCTGCGGCTCAGTTCTCGCCGTGCATTTGTGAGCTCCGCCTCCAGCTCGGCCATGCGGGCGTTTAGCGTGGCAGACTGCTCGCGGCTCTGAGCCAGCTCCTTGTTGGTCCGATCCAGCAGCTCCTGAAGCTCCGACGCCCGGCTGCCATCGTCGTTGGCGTCTATAGATCCATTGGGTAGTCTCTGTCAGGCAAACACAATTAGCTGATGACATCACTCACTCTCACACACCACATCTAAGCTAAGAAATGCAATACGTTGTTTTATGACATATAGAGTTGTTGGATGACCTACATAAAAAGTATCAGTATTCATGCATACAGATGGGGTTATGTAAAGTGATGTTGTTTTCCTTCCCTTCACAGCTCAACGTGTCATTATTTCCAGGATCCTAATTAAACAAACCTGCAGGGACACACAGTCTGACTGGAAAGTCGGTGGGCAGCAGCAAGTTTAGGACCCCTGCTGCTCTCAAATGTTCTCATTTTACTTTCTTATGAATCCCTATCAAAAACATCAACACAGACACAGGCACAGGCAGTGGGGGACATGCTGGAGTCGATTTGTAATAAAACGCACCTGGTGAGCTTTACAGATGAGCATATGCCCTCGTTCGCCGTAACGCTCAGAAAAACATTTCTAGCATCTAGTTACTGAAGAGATTTCACACTAATCAGTTAATCAGTGGGAAGGGCAATCCCATGAACTTGCATTTGAATGTTGTGCAGTTATGTGCTAGCTCGTAACGTCTGTTAGTGCCAACTGATAGCTGGTCAGTTTGTGTCACACATGTGCAAATTTGGATTTTCTGAAATTTTTTTTATCTAATAGTCAAACCAAATTTTAATTTCTTAAAACTTTCTACTTTTCAACACCTGCAGTGGTCTCTAGTATAAGTGAATGCCTTGGGAGTCGTTCTCTGTGTAAAAATGCTCTGGCACTCCTGTTTCAGGAAGTAGAAGTTAGTTGGAGCAGAAGGTTTGTTGTTTTAGATTGATCTACCGTATTTTCCGGACTATAAGCCGCTACTTTTTTCCCACGCTTTGAACCATGCGGCTTATAATGAGGTGCGGCTTTACTGAAGATTTTCCTTCTCCTGCCAGGGGGCGCTTTAGCAGAAAGTGAAACAGGTGGAAGTCAAAAGTGGAAATCGAAGAAAGTGCTCATTTTAATTTAGCACATGTAAGCAGCCGGCATGACGAAGACATTTTTTCAAATCCATACCCCCTCATCATGGTAACTACACGTATGAGTTCATATGATGCCGCATTTAAGTTGAAGGCCATCGATCTGGCAGTAAAGGAGGGAAACAGTGCTGCCACACGTAAGCTTGGCATGAATGAATCCATGGTTCAGCGCTGGAGACGGCAGCAGGAAGAACTCATTCAAGCCAGCTTCACCCGGGGATGATGACAGCAACACGGACAGCGACACCGACATCGCCACAGAAAAGGTATGTGACGAAGCTCTTCTGAGGCTGTTCAACTCCGACACTGAAGAAGAGGACTTTAATGGCTTTAGTGCGCAAGAGGAAGATGAGAGCGAATGACTTTTTCTGGTAGGCAATTGTGTTTGATTTACTAACCACAGGCATGTTTTGTGTGCAGTTTTTATTTTCTAATCATCCAGGGCTTATTAATGCTGTGTCAGCACTGTTCTTTTCTTCTAAACATGCAAATTACCAGTAGTAACGTGTCAGTTCTGTTTTTATTTTATAACCATCCAGAAATATGAATGCTATCAGTGCTGTTTTCTTTTCTAAACTTGCCTTGCACGTTCACCCGTGTTTAAAATCCGTTTTGTTGAACTAAAACAACAACGAAAACCCTCTGTGTAGCGTCTTTCTGTCTAATTATCTTATGTTATGGCCGTACATGTGCTGTGCACCGGAGACCTGCATGTGGCTGCTGCGCTGCGGCTTGTATTCGAGTGCGGTGTGTGTGTGTAGAAACCCTTTTTTTTTTTTGCTGGTGCGGCTTATATTGAGGTGCGCTCTGTAGTCCGGAAATTATGGTAGTCACATATCTCGATTTACCGGTCGATGGTCACAAGCTTTGGATAGTAACAGAAAGAATGAGATCGCGGATGCGTTTGGCTGAAATGATTTTTCTCTGCAGAGTGTCTTGGCTCTCCCTTAGAGCTAGGATGAGAAGCTTGGTCATCTGGAAGGGGCTTGGAGTAGATCTGCAGCTCCTCCACATCGAGAGGAGCCAGTTGAGGTGGCTCAGTTATCTAGTTAGAATGCCTCCTGGACGCCTCCCTGGTGAGGTTTTCCGGGCACGTCCAACTGGGAAGAGATCTAAAGGAAGTCCCAGGACATGCAGGAGGGACTATGTCTCTCAGCTGGCCAGGTAACGCCTTGGGGTTCCCCTGGAGGAGCTAGCCCAAGTGGCTGGGGAGAGGGAAGTCTGCTTTTGCTGCTGCCCCCGCAACCCTGGATAAGCAGCCAAAAATGGATGAATGGATAGTCACATGCTTTTATCATAACACTGGTCTCAACCCAAAGAGAGTCAAGCATAATGAAGTCTGTGTTACCTGTAGCTCCTTTCCCTCTCTACATGTAGGTGTTTTCATTTTAGGATCCAACAAGTCAAGAGATGCAAAACTAAGAAGTCTCTACAGATGTTTTCTACACAGACATAAACAAAAGTACAGCACCGAAAGACAATTCTACAGCCAAAAATAACCTTCCACGTAGGTTTGGTTCCATCTGATCGCTCCGCTGAGTCACCGTCTTTCCTCTGCCTCACCATGTTCAACTGCAAAAAAAAAGATAGAAATAAAACCTGAAACAGCCTCAGTGTTCTCACCTGAGCACACTAAATGAAAATGAAATAAATGCACAATTTCTTCTCTTTCATGGAGAAGAAATCAAGCATTTATTTCATTTTCATTTAGTTTGCTCAGGAGCGAGAGAAGTGAGGCTTTTTCAGGTTTATTGTGTTTTAACCCTTCCACTGTCTTATCGGGTGACCCCGCCAGGAAAGTTGACCATTGAGCAGGGTTGATGGTTTATCCCTTGAGGTCCACATAGCAGGGGTGAGGAGTGAGCACCACCTCACCCCTCCCACGTGGACCTCAAGAGATAAACCATCAACCCTGCTCAATGGTCAACTTTCCTGGCGGGGTCACCCGATAAGACAGTGGAAGGGTTAAAAAACTTCCAAATGTGAATTATACTCAGAATGAGGAGGCTTTGTTCACCAGATTTAAAAATATTCTGTGGAACTTTCTGGAAGGTGTGTGTGTCCTGTTACGGTCATCATAACAGTCAGACATGGTGGTGGTCATGTAATGGTGTGGGGCTGCTTTGCTGCTTCAGGACCTGGACCACTTGCTGATGTCAATATAAGTGTGAAGGTTTTATGTTAGAGATGCTCGATATCTGCCTGTTTTTTTTTTTTTTTTTACTGATATCTAACGATATTGGGTCAACAAAGGAGTAAAAACCGATATCAATATTGGTTTTCCCCTATAGACATAAGCCCGGCAGACCGTGAGAGCTGGGGTGGGTGGATGTTAGGCCTGGCAGCCATACCAAGCTCATGAAGCGTTGGGGGAAACCCTGCAATATTTTCCAATATTACATTTTAAGGCCAATATCGGCCGATAACATCAGAACGATATTATCGATAGACCGATAATATTGAACATCTCTTTTTATATGTAAGATTGGTTGATCTTGGCAGCTGAGACATAAAGTGTAAACGCATAAAGACAATTTACCTCCTGTGTGGTAGCTGCAAGCTGTCCCTCCAGGGTCGCCACCCTCTCCAATGCCACCCGAAGCCTCTCACGTACCTAAAACAACACACCACAATCACAAGCAACTCACCTGAATTTAGTTAAACCTTGTGAGCAAGTTGCCATTTAACACTTTACAATGAAGAAATGACCAACGTAGCTTTTTGTGTGTCAATGACATAAAAATGCTGCTGCATAAACATGCAATCTCCTGACAGCTTCCATTTGTTTCACTTTAAAGTCCTTTCTGCAACAATTGCCTTATTTATGGAGACCTTTCCCTCTGACAATGAGAGAGAAATGAGCTTCATTATCAAGAAGACAAACAAGAAAATTAACTAGATCAGAATTAATCAGCCTAGCGGGACAGCAGTACTGTTTGAGAAGAAGATGAAGAAGCTACTAAATGGTGTGAGCGACGGAAGGTATTTGTGTGTGTGTGTGTGTGTGTGTGTGTGTGTGTGTGTGTGTGTGTGTGTGTGTGTGTGTGTGTGCGTGTGCGTGCGTGTGTGTCCACCTTCTCATCCAGTGCCTTGTGGTGTTCAAACAGCGACTTCAGAGCTTTGAGGACCTCTACCTCGCTGGAGACTCCAGATGGCGGTGGGGCCTGTCTCTTCACCACCGTCATCCTCAGACTGCGCTCATGTCGAGACACCAGACACTCCAGGTGCTCCAACAGCAGCTACACAAACACATCCACCACCGAAGACAATATTCGTTTAAAAATGTTTTTATCAGCATGGCTAGTAGACACACACACACACACACACACACACACACACACACACACACACACACACACACACACACCCTGGTGTTGTTCCTTTCAGCTTTCAGCTCCGATATTTCCTCCTCTTTCTCCAGCAGCTGCTCCCGGCATATGTTCAGCTCCTTCGTCAGGGTGGCAAACTCCTACATGCACGCACACACACACACAGAGGTTAACGCTGGATGGCATCGTAACAACAGGGGGTGCTACTTTTATTTACTGCGTGGGCTGAGGAGACTGAAACGGCCCTGATGCATCTGATCTCTTTTACAGGTGCCACACTTCCATAGTGGCCTCCTCTGGTCCAAATCAATCCTTCTGGAGCATTTTGATTTTAAAACTTGCAGGCAGGAAACAAGTCCTGCAGATAAATGACCGTAGAATGTGAAGGCAGAGGGGCGGAGGACAGCTGGTTTCTTAGAATTTCCCAAGAAAATGATTTAGATCTGAGAGAACCTCCAGCTCCACCAGGATGTTTACTCATCTCATCGCTGCCTGAGACAAACGTAACAGCTTTTCATTATTTAACCAAGAGCAAATCATTTAAAACTCTGGAAACGTGTCTCTTGTGCACCATTTGGTTTATTGATGCTCCTTTCCCTATCTTGTTTTGACAGAAAGCTCTGAGCTTCTTTGAAAGCCTAAAATCATTCTAAACATCACCAGAAGACATATTTCTGTCAAGCTGACACTTTTCAAAGCATTTTGCACGCGTGTGTACACTGCACATCTGTGGAGGAATTACAGGAGAAGAAGTCTGTACAAACTTCAGGTGGCGTACAATGATGGGTTGAGGCTGCTGCTGAAGGTACCTCGCTGGAGCAGTGCCAGCCAGTTATTCATGTACCTGGTATTCCCACCTGTACTGCTACCCTGCATACAGGTGTATGTGTAGGCTGATGGTCTCTGGAGAAGGTATCACCTCCATCTTGTCCACAACGACACGAAGCATGACTTGATTCTATTCTAACCTTTGGAATCACTGGCGTTGTTGCCTGTATGTCTGACTGATCTTGTCGGTTTATATTGCTGTTGGTTGTAATTTTATTGTTATTAACCTGCTTTATTGTTCCTAATGTGTTTTATTTCCTTGCTATTTTTAAACTGCTTTTAATCCTCTAATCTTTAATCTTCATGAATGTATCTATTTTTACTCTTCACTGTGCTATCCTTCCCATTATGGACCTTAAAGGCCCGGAATAATGTTTTGATGATGATGATGATGATGTTTAATCTTGAATGATGGTTTTGTATAGATTACAGATACTTGAGCAACCATGAACCCCCCAAGGCACCTTACAACACAATCAGTCATTCACCCATTCACACACACATTCACACTCTGATGGTGATGAGCTACACTGTAGCCACAGCTGCCCTGGGGCGCACTGACAGAGGCGAGTCTGCTGTACACAGGTGCCACCGGTCCCTCCGAACACCACCAGCAGGCAAGGTGGGTTAAGTGTCTTGCCCAAGGACACAGCAACAGACTGAGCGGGACTCGAACCTGTAACCTTCCAATTAACTCCTGTGCCGCCATCGCCTCACGCCTTGTTTTTCTTACATGTAACACAAAAAACTTATACTCTTCCCATCCAGATCTCTCAACTAGTGTTCTGTTGCTCTAATAATGCTACATACAGCTAACACCGCTGCTAAGTTAGGCTCTTGAGAGCCAACGTTTTATCAGTAGAAAAAACATGATTGTGCATCTCATGGGCCAGAAAACTACCTTCACTCTTGACAGTAATGTGAACATTAAAACCACACAAAGGGTGATAAAGCAGAGAAAAGAATAACTTCTATAACATTTTTGATATTAGTTGTTTTTATTAACCTGGACTGATCGTAGTCTCAATGTTGCAAACTGTTTCTCCAAACTGAGGTCATTCAAAAAGCAATTTAGAACAGGTAAGACTGTTTAGGTTCACAACCCTGGCACAGAAAACCCACGAAACAACACCTGAATCATCACTTTGAGCTGCAGCAAAGATGGCGAAGCATGAAGAATGTAACAAAGCAACTTATATCTGTCTGACGAGTAAGGCTTGAACAGGCTGAAACTGAGCAGGCGGTGATAAATAATGCAGTGGTTTTAAGAGAATGTGTCGTTTTATATTGCTGCCACTGCTAAGCTATATGCACAAATCCTTAGGCTCTGCTGAGTAATAAACATGTTTTCAGTAGCTTTTCTCACAAAAAGGAAAAGGCTATTAGCAAAAATGCAATGCCCATTTATATGCAAGAAAAATAACACACTGTTGTTCTTAGTGAGTGAAACATGGGAGGCTTTTATTTAGATATTTTTTTTCCATTTAAAAAAGTCACAAGACTTTACACACACACACACACACACACACACACACACACACACACACACACCTTTTAAAGGCCGATCAGTTAAGGCAGAAAAAGCTGAAACTGATGACAGAAAATACTCAAATTTACTTAAATATATATAGGCTTTCAAAAACTTTTAAACACCTTTTAAAATCTTGGCACTGATGAAAAAAAGTTATCAAAAAAGTTTGGTTGTGTATCCTAATTAGCTTTTTCTTTGCAATAATCGTTTAGTCTGGTCCTGATAAGAAACATCACTTCAATATAAAATCTGATACATTTGTAATATACGTACACATTTTGTCCAAATAATAGAATTCCCACCAGAAAAGGGACATAAAGATATGCGAACTCATCCATTTTGGATTCTATTGGCCCTGTCTTCATCATTCCCAGTAAAAAGCAGCAGCTCGGAGCAGAAACGGGGAAGAGAGAAGGAAGGAGCAACTGGAGAAAAGGGGAAAATAGGTCAGCTTGTTCATTTTGCTTTCTCTTATTCTACTGGGGTGCACCAGTAGAGAGGAGCTCATGCCAAAATCTACCAACAGATGTTTGAGCTCGCTGTCTCTTTCATTCATGGCAAAAAAGCTGAATAGAGCGCCTTCAGTTCATCTCTTCATCCCATCATTCCTCTGCTCTATGAGAGCTCCACTAAAAAGAACATAACAAGTGGGAGCAGCACTCACAAACAAATAAAAATAGACATTAGGAGTTTTATGAATCTGAAATGACAAAGTTTGAAGATATACCGATGTTCAGACACGAAACAAAATGTTGGTTGTAGATGTTGGTTTAATTTCTCTTGAGGGCATGTCCAGAGCCGTCTCATCTGACAGCTTCTGACACGCTGAGCAGACTACACAAACCAAAATCGCACACAGATTCTCCAAGATGGGTTTTCAACAGTCAGGCAGACGTAGCTCACTGACAACAGCCTCGACATCTGTCGGGGAGATAATCATACAGAGGAAAGTTCTGTGTGTGTCTGGAGGAACGCCGCTACCTCCAGTGTTGAAATAGCAAGTGGGTTACCAAACATTGCTGAGCAATGACATTGTAAAGGGATTTCTCCCCTTCCTTAAGCAGTTTGGGATTAAAGGATGTAAAAAATGCTCTGTGTGTGCTTGTGTGTGTGTGTGAGTGAGAAAAAAACAGAGAAAGAGACAGAAGTGAAGTCAGAAAAAGCAGAAAAGTTTTATTTTCATTCTTTCTTCAAAGCAAACACACTATCCTAAAACACACAGTCCCTGGAAATGGTCCTGTATGTGTGTGTGTGTGTGTGTTTGTGTGTGTGTGTGTGTGTGTGTGTGTGTGTGTGTGTGTGTGTGTGTGTGTGTGTGTGTGTGTGTGTGTGTGTGTGTGTGTAGGTGTGTGTGTGCGTGTGTTTGTTACTGGCATCTTTTTCCTTTTTCTCAGTCACTGATCTCCTGAGTAATGAAGGTCAATGACTGAATTGGTTGACTGGATACAAATCACCTTAGAAAAGCTGATTTGAACTTTAAACAACAAGCATACAGTAACGTTTGTATCCATCCATCCATTTTCCTCTGTTATCCAGAGTCTTGTCACAGAAGCAGCAGGGAGGCCCGGACTTCCTCCTCTGGGGGCGCCCCAAGGCGTTCCCTGGCCAGACAAGAAACAGCCCCTCCAGCGTGTCCTGGGTATTCCTTTAGGTCTCCTCCTGATTGGACGTGCCCAGAAAACCTCACCAGGGAGGTGTCCAGGAGGCATCCTAATTAGATTCCTGAGCCACCTCAACTGGCTCCTCTCAATGTGGAGGACCAGCGGACCTATCCGAGCCCCTCCTGAATTACAGAGCTTCTCAACTTTTCTTTAAGGGAGAGCAGATACCCTGCTGAGGAATTTTATTTTAACCGCTTGTATCTGCCACCTCATTCTTCACCACGACAGACCGGTTTAACGCCCACATCACTGCAGACGCAGCGCCAATCTGCCTCCATCTCACGCTCCATCTTTTCCTCACCTGTGAACAAGACCCCGAGATACTTAAACTCCTCCATTTGAGGCAGGACCTCATCCCTGGAGAAAGCATTCTACCCTTTCTGACTCAAAACCATGGTCTCAGATTTTTAAATGCTAAATTACTTTTCTATCGCTATGATTGTTCTGACTGTTCTGACACACCTGGAACAACCAGGCATGCATGCAAGGCTGCAATTTGCGAACTACAGCTCTGCATTCAACAACATCCTCCTCAGCAGACTATTCCACAATGTGTCTGTGACCTTGACCTCTGCACATCTGCCTCTGGATACACAACTTTCTAACAAACCAACCTCAGTCAGTTAAGCTAGGCCACCACCATTCCTCCTCTCTGTCCTTCAGCACAGGAGCCCCACAAGGCTGCGTGCTGAGTCCCTACCTGTACTCCCTGTATACACAACTGTAAGCCCACCCACAACACCAATGCTATCATTAAGTTTGCTGATGATACAACTGTGGTGGGCCTGATCAGCCAGGGCAATGAGTCAGCGTACTGGGAAGAAGTAGAGCAGCTGGTGGATTGGTGTACAGCTAACAACCTAACCCTGAACACCAACAAATGGTAAATGGCCTGCATTTGATATAGCACCTTCTAGAGTCATGGAACCTCTCAAGGCGCTTTACAACACAATCAGTCATTCACCCATTCACACACATTCACACACTGGTGGGGATGAGCTACGATGTAGCCACAGCTGCCCTGGGGCGCACTGACAGAGGCGAGGCTGCAGAGCACTGGCGCCACCAGTCCCTCCGACCACCACCAGCAGGCAACGTGGGTTGAGTGTCTTGCCCAAGG